GGAGAAAATTAACACTCTCACATTCTGAGGCTAGAGAAAGTAATTGATAGCAGTTGTTCAGTCTTGATGTGGCTTATTGTGAATGTGCAACCAGTTGACAGTATATGATATGTGCTGAAAGCACAGTATAGTTCCCCTGATCCCGTAGCTAATGGAGTATGTGCAGGGAAGGCCATGTTTTCTCCTATGTGCTATTTGTTTATTATTCCTATCATTTTTGTCTAGGCATGGTTTTCATTTACATGAATATGTTGTTTAAAACAAAGAAACAACACTGAATTTTGTCCCTCGTGGACTCTTGACTTCAGTGTCTGTCACATGGACAAAGCAGGAGGGAGGCATTAAGGTCTTATAAACTTCTTACAGTTAAGACGTTTTAATCCCAGGTGGTGTGGTATCTGCTAAATAAAGCAACTGTCACTGCACTTTGCTGTTTAGTGGGGTCTCAGCGATAACATGACCTCAATGCAGGTCTAGCATTACGTAATCCTCATCAGCTTCAACGAGATCTGACACACTTGAAATTAAACAATATTCAAGTCAGTAGATATTGGGAGGAGTGTCTGTTGTGTAAGACAGACGTCATTTTGGTCTTGATCTGATTGGAGCTACTGATCTGTGAGCGGCCTTGTGGGGTGAGTGTGTAGAGGTCATAATAAAAGCTAGTGCCCTGCATGTTGGGCATGATTTAAGAAAACAGCATCACTAAAACAAATCACTGTGTATAAATCACCTTAGTAATCAGGTTAACTTGCAAAAGATTAGTGGCATGATTTAAAATGGTCATAAAATAAGGAGGGGTTCACATGTCTGCATATGACATGTAGACAGACAATAATAGGGGGAGGGTTCAACTCTTTGTGAGCACATGGCTCAAAGGTTTGAATAGTGAATGTGTTATGGTGATTCCCTCTGTTAACCTAGGCAGGCAACTTGAACCTCTGGGAAGGCAGCAGATCGTAATGACATGGCTTCTCTGTATGAGTCAGGATTAAAAGACGTGCCTGATCAATGAAACAACGGGATAAAAGTTAAACTGTTCCTGGGAACATCTGAACTCTTCAGAAGTTTAGATTATCTATTGAACTAGATTGGGGTGGAAAGAGTACTTTTTACACATCAGCTGGTGTTCCCGTTCTCAAAGTTACAGAGTTTTCAAAAGAAAAGATGATTATGGTGGCAAATGTGTGCCTTTGCAGACCTTTGGACATACAACATTACAAACAAGTTATTTTTCTTAAAAAATCATGTGTGTTGTCTCTCTACTCTTCAATATATATTTTTGTGTTTTGCAAATATTTGCTATTTGTAATATTTTCTTTGAAAAAACACTTGATTTTAAGCAGCAAAGCAGTTGAAAAGTAGAACTGGTCCAGCTCTTCTTCCAGTAGATAGTTGTTATGCGAATATATGAATATTCAATATTCAGTATTTACATATATTCAACAAACAGAGATGTCCTAATTTGTTATATCATTAACATTTTGATGAAGTGATTACCACTTTAATATGATTTTCTTTGTGGTGTAAGTTGTTCTGGTAAAATACTATTCGGATATCAAATGGAGTGATTGAGAGTGCTTGTTGCTTGTGTTCAGCTTCAGCAGTTAATCTACAGTGATTGTTCAGGGTTTTCTCTTCAACCCCTCTATTGTCTTTAACGCTTATTTAACCAGGAAAAGCCGGATACATCTCCTTTCCAAAACTGTGTTGCCAAGAGAGCAGCACACAGTTGCAGGCACACTCAGTAGCTGCTGGCCGTGCACAGGCATTTTCTTCACCCAATTAACCAGGCCTGAATAATTGGATGTTCAAGAAGCTTTTTGTGAACTTGGTATACTGTTTGCAGATATGAACAGCTCTTTGTGGGTTTATTGGTGTTGGAGCAGGTTGAACACAACTAGGATCTTTTTTCATCCATGCAGACAGTCTGAGATCTAGTTCAGTGACGTCAGGGTCAAATAGGCTCAGAAAGCAGCTAAAGGATTGGCAGAGGGAGGCACCTGAGACAGAAGTGTAACATGTGAACAATGGGTCAAGACTGTTCCAAGAGGTCACCCTTTAACAAGAAACGTCCAGCTCTTACGTATCTGCATTCTGTTTTTAAAGACATTTTAAAACATTGCATGACCCTAAAGCAAAATCCAAATTTACAAGCTTATAGCCCAAAAGACTGCATGGAAACTCCAAGCAGAAGCTTTTTATTTTTATTCAGACATACAATGTCATCATTCCATGAGCGTAACAAGCAGGCGTATCTTGAGACTGTTCCGACTGCAATACTGCATAACGCACTCACATCACCTCTTTAAACTTCATCTTGTACCAACTATTTGAGACCTGGTGCTTGCAGCCTAATTCCCTGAACACTTCCATGTAAGCTAATCACTGTGGCATATCAGTGTGATGGCGGCCAATCCCATTAGGCTGTGGTTGGTGTAGCCCCGCTTTGTGTTCAGCTCCTGCATCTCTGATCTGTTGACGAGATTACTCACAGAGCCTCAGATCAACCCAAGTGACAGGTACGCAGTACGTTGCATCATGTTGAAGAAAGGATAAGGAAAATACAGCTTTAACCCAAATTAATTTTTCCAAGCAGGTTTTGATAAAGAGTTTAGGGGGCTTAGTCAAAAACATAGGAATTGCATATAATTTTTTAACTGAAATAGTCGCTATTTACTAGTGTTGATTCAACTGCCATTTCTATAGGGCTGGACTGGAGACTAAATGAAGTGAAAACGAAGAAGCTTATGAGAAAAATGACATCTTACTGAATGTAGAAAATAGTTACCGTTTTCAATTTTTTAAAACATTTTTGGTCACATTTTTGGAAAGGCTGTCTTACTTCAAACTTTGTCCACTACTGACACTTAGAGGTGGGACATGTGTGAATACATAGTCAGCTATATTCATGTCAATGGTTAAATGAGCCAGTTTTACAGCATTTTTTACATTTGTACAGGTCATCATTTTCACATGGTTTATCAAAGCCAAGTTTGGTACAGACATTCATAGTAAACCAACAAAGTCAAATGTATTTTCATCACAAATTTTGAGTGAAAGATCTTACTGTATCTTCCTAGTTTGTGCCCGGTCATATCTATATTTTGCTCATGATGGGAAACGTGTCCCCAACAAAAGATTTGAGAGTGGAAATAATTGAATGGATGGGTGGGTGCAAGTGTTGCAACTAGAAGAGGCCCACCTAGGAATTTAGGATTGATATGTAATGGACTGCAATTAAGAAAAAGTGGGGTTTCTATATTTTCTTCGAATCTTTATCAAGTTATTTTTTCAAAGAAATGTTTAGAGAGCACAGGTGAAGGGAAAAAAGCAGCACTTTAATCATTACATATCATCCCTGTTGTTACTGCCTTCAATAATGAAACTTTAATGATACTCATCAGCATGCAGCCTTTCATTGGGCAGATGAGGCTGGATCACCTTCCACCTCTACGACCCTAAACAAAAGAAGGTCAATCATCTTCAATGGCCATGTCAGGGCCTTGACTTTAATCCAATTGTCAAACAGTGCAGGGACTTAAAGAGAGCTGAGTTTGACTACACATGATTCTCCACAAAACTGGGCCAACGTTTTACTCAGTCTATGTAATTTTAGCACAGGCATAAACAGACGAATGGCAGAACTGTATTGTGTTTCCTACTTTTGTTCTTCTATTTTTGCCCAAGTTACATTTATTCATGTGGCGCATTTTAAACAGCTGGAGATGACCAAGTGCTTCACAAGTCCAGCGAAACACAAAACAGGCCAGTCATTAGTCAGTTACCTTCAGTTATTACAGGAGATTTTTAAAAACAACTATGTGTAAATGCTTTAAAATGCTTTATGCTTTAAAAACATTTTTTAGTTTGTTGTTAATGTTGGAAGACAAATTTGTTAATTTCCAGCTGTTGATTATTTCCTCTCCTCCAAACACAGACTGGATTCTGCTTGCACCACCAGAGGGAGCTGGCTCTACACTGTTGCAATGTCAACATGTTGTGCAACCAGGAGCCACCCTAAAATTGAAAGGTTTTGAACAGTAAAATAGTTTTAGATCCAGAGTGGAGACCGATATGGATCTCAGGCTTATGCTAAACAGACTTAGTCTCTACATTATTGTGACATGTACTTATTTTCATATCCCGATTTGAATTAAAAAACTTAATTTAAATCAGCACGTTAAGCTTCTCTCCTTAAGAGGAGCTGAATAAGTAATACTCAAAATTAGTTAAACAAGCAGTCTGAGAGGCAAAAGCTTCTCAGTTTGGGACCAAAGATCTGGAGACACATCATTTTTAAAAGATAAAATGAACCTGAATTTTTATGAGGTCAATAATGATCTGTTTTGGATTCCATCGATAGGTTAACAAGCACAAACATCCATCCTGTGTGTAAAAAATGTTTTTTTACAGCATCTGAGACAGGATGTTTGTTGCTGTCGAAATATAGTCAGATGATTTTTCCCAGTTTACATAATTGCTGAAGAAACATTTAACAGTGTCGCTGTGATTTCTGAAAGTGAAAAGGTTGACTCTGCTGAATCTCTGTTACCTCTTCTCCTTTCAATCCATCTGACACACCAAAAAGTGAGGGCCTGTATAAGCATCTCTTCAGTACAACAACCACAACTTTTGTCCCCACTGCTTTGAACACACGTAGATGTGTCGTTATGGCAACAGCAGAACTGCGATCGGCTGCTGTGTCTTTTCTGCCCTGTGTGCGTCTGTTAGTGTTTTTACGCATGGCAGGGGGGCAAAGCGAGTCCTGCATTACACACACACCCCGCATTACACCCAACCCCCCCCCCCCCCCCCCCCCCCTCCATTCCCCGCCCCCCCCCCCATCCTCCCACCCCTTGCCTCCATCAGAGCTGCAGCTCAGGCACGAGAGTCTTTTGGAGGGGGCGGGGTCTGTTTCGCTGCAGAGGGATGCTCATGCTGGACCAACCAGTCTGGAAATCCCTGCTCACAGGCATGTACTATACACACACACACACACACACACACACACACGCTCCCGCTGACTGCAGTCAGAGCCCCTCAAGCTTCTGGCTTCTGTGCTCCATCTCCCTTGCTCTCGCTTATCTGCCCTCTATCTGTCTCTGTTTCTCCTTCTTCAACCCCTCGTCTCCGGCTGTGGCTCTCCTCCTCTCCGGCGCTCCTTCAGCCCATCCTCCTATCTCTCTGACACGTTCAGTTTTCAGTTCTCCTCCTCTCCTCCAAGCCACGCTGAATAACACAACCAGGGAACATGTCCTCCAACGTGCCCTCGGGGACTGCGGTCGGGAGTGCCGTGGCCAAAAACAAGCCCCTCTCCCCCTACAAGAAGAGGGGCAGCTTACAGTACACAGCCAGCACAGGTAAGTGCAGTCACTTTAAGAGCTATGCAGAAGTGTGTGTGTGTGCGGAGGATTTTCCCATGATCTGAACCGAATATGGTTCAGTTCAGAAAAGCACACTTCTGTGTGAATTAAGAAGTTTTCTTTTTGTGTATCAGTGCCAGGAAATTGTCTTGAAAAAAACAAGTAATGTATGTGCATCACTTTTTCTCAGGCAGTAGTTGATGAACTGCAAACCTGTTGATGAATGGGGGGAAGGGGGGGGCAGAAGAAGCTCCCTACGCATATATTCAGAAATTAAACCGCATTTTCATGCAACGTTATTCACATCCTTTCATCCTGTCTTCTGCAGTATATTTTTAGAGAAGACACAACATGCTTTACATGGATCCTCTGTGTTTGTTCACAGTGAAATGAGCCAAATTTTAAATCCCAATGTGTAAAAAAGGGGGCTCAAACTCACTTAGTTCTCTTACGTAGGATTTTTCCTTGAGTGCAAGAACACATTGTTTAGATAATAGTTGTGACACTGTTTTTGTTCAGCTTGGAAGCAGCGTGCTGCCTGGAGAGAATGGTACCTCAGGACTTGATCCCACATTGAATGAGAGGATTAGCCTCCCCTCTGATGCATGCACATGCTGGTCAGCCTTTCATCCACACTACAGAGCCAGTGTCTCCTCCTCGTCCAACTACATTTTCTCTGAAATGCAAAACCGTTTCATTCTGTTTCTCAGCAATATCATGCAGATGGCATGATCTGACACAGCAGCGCAGAGCCACTAATGTCCTCACATCTCAGTGAATTGATTCTTTGAGACACTGTCTGCTTCACTCAGCCCTTCACTCATGCTTTTAGGGCTATCTCTCATCATAATAAAAATGTGGTTCTTGCAAGATAATTTCTGCTCAGCTGCTGTTTTTTCACCAAGGGCGTGACACAAAAACCTCAGTAAGTGCAACGGATGTACCGTAGTCTTGATGTCTTATTTTTCTATCTTGTTAGAAGTATATGAAACAGTCTTTCCTCATCGATAGTTTATGTATTAATTTGAATTACATGATAGATACACTGTACTTTCCGGAAAAATACTGCATCTTTAAAAATCTTCTTGCAAAGGTATTATCACTGCATAGAACCAAGACTGACAGTCTGCAATGTCAGAACGATGACCAAAACAGTCAGAAATGGATTTTCAGAACTGACAATCAGTCAAGGAGCAGGATATCTGAGTGAGTCAGGGTGTTTTCAGTTATTATTCACATTTACAGCTTACGGCCGTTGCATCAGTTGCTCTCACACTGTCAGAAAATATTGCTGAGATGTAGTATTGACAGGCTTATTACCAATTTTTCTTTTTTTCTTTTTACAATACAGATACAATTTGAAAGGGTTCAGTTTTGTATCCTCCAAGGATTCAATTTCCAGAAGCAAGGTGAGGTAGAATTCACATTTTAGGTTGTGAAAGCCTCCAGTGAATCATCTGTGTAATCAAAGATGACATTTAGGTGACTCATCTTTTTTGTTTTATTTTTTCACAAGGGTACTTCTCCAGATTATTTTCTGTGCCTGTGTGAAGGGGAGTGTGAACATTTATTCTGTAAACGTTAACAAGTGTGGCAAATTACACTACATCGGCCGATATAACAGTTTTAATTTTTTCAAAGGATCAGTAAATCTCAGTGGTTCTGCTGATGCTAATATCAGATTATGTAAAATATGAATGTGGAACAAATCATCTCAAAATGAATCTCTTCAACACATAAGACTTCTTCATGTAAACAGTTTACATGTAAACAGTTTTGGCATCGTGCTGTCCATATTAAACACAGACTTGCAGGCTGTGTGGACTGAAGCGCATCAAAAATCAGCACTGGATAAATCACTTTTCTGACAGTTTAAAAAAAGTGGCTCTGAGATAAGAGACACCCACTCACCACCCACTACTGTGTGCCACGTGCTGTTTTGCACTTGTTGAACCTCTCAAATGGTTGCAAATGGGAATTAATTTATTTATGTAGATGCTTGCTTACAGACTGATCATAAGAGAGATGTTGTCTTCATGTGGAACATTATGTAGCAGTCTGTGCTGAAGGAAAGTGTGGACTGGTAGAACACACAGTTCTTCACCCATCTCTTCTCCACACCTTTTTTGGTTGCATCACGTGTTGTCATCATCACTTGTTAACGCATGTCACAGTCTTTCACAGATACAGTAATGGCCGGAAGCAGCCCCTATAACAGGAACTTAATCTGCAGTAATTACTTAAGTATCAGTTAACAATTTACTGAGTCCGTGGGCCATCCGCCCCAGCACCCCTTCACTACTCCATAACCTTTGGCCCATCACGCCTCTCGTGAATCTGCGCTTTGCATCTCTTCTGCTGTTATATCTGGCCTGTTAGTTGTCTCATGGACTTATGCCCTGACAGGGTTGGGCCATATCTTTGCAGTATTGTTGCTCCTATATTTTTGTGGTGATGAGGTAAATGCACAGAAGACGTCTGATGCCAGCTGTGGAGTGCAGCCCACTGACCTGAGAGAGCACATCTAGTTTGAAACACAGTGAGCTACAGTGAGTATATGTTGCTTGAGACGTCACTGTTTTGGTGTTTTATTTAAAGGCAAAACTCAACAGCATGTGTTCACTTTGATTTGTTGCTTTTTGAAAAACTTATGTTCCCCAATTTTGTGACATCTCTTCGGGGGAATGTTGTACCTGCACTTCGCTGTGTATCCTAACTTTGTTGCTCTTTTCTTTGACGATAAAATCCTTCAGAAGTGAAATGATTATTGTTCATTGTCTCAGAAAGTTACCTAGTAGCTCTACATCATATTCAAACAAGCAGATCTCTTTTATTTAGTGATTTCTCCCATCTCTATATTTCATAGAATTTGGAAAAAGCAAAATCTTTAAATTCCCTTAGTATCAATTTACTGTAGCTGTAAGAATTAAACAATTATTTGTAAGATGCTGTTTCTGACCATTAGAGGGCGTCTGTGCAGAATAAATGCAGACATTGAAGAGTCAATATTCTGCTCCTCTGAAGGCCCAAAAAATGCATGTGATCACTTGCAAATAAGAAATTATATCAGGAGTATTTAAAAAAAAACAGCAAATGGTTTAGTTCAAAGTCATTTGATTGAGTTTACAGTGAATTTGTAGCATTTCTGTTTTAAAGACTTTGCTTTTTAGTCTCCTACATGAAAATCCATCCATCCACTTTCTATTCTGCTCATTCCTGGTAGGGCCAAGGGGCGGGCTGAAACCTAAAAATAACATGAAAGAAATTAGCATGACTATCGGATAGTTGTAAGTCATTGGTGTATTGTATTACATCATCTGGAACTAAACAGACATTCAGATTTCAGGTTGTATTTTGAAAACTTTTAGGGCCTAGACACACTTGATTTGAGCATTTATGCATTATTCCAAATGATTTTACTGACAGAACGCGAGCCCCAGAAATGACAGCTGCAACCATAAAAGGGGTGATGTCCTGTCCCTTTAATTTAATTTCTGTGATAAGAGATGGGGGCAACGTCTCATGTTTAAAACACTCATCACCCTCAGACTGCTATTGATTAGCAGCCAAGATTGAAAGACATCTTAACCCTTAAGTGCTGAGGCTCTACTGTTTTGTTCGGGCATACTCAGAAGGAAGATAAACATCCCAAACACATGGCCCTCATGGCAAAGCACAGCGCAGACTATGCAGCTTAAATTGGGGGGGGGGCTGCGGCTAGAGACTTTCATTGTGGAAGAATCCATGTCCTGTGGTGATGGATGCCATTTCCCCCTGCCTGCTCACCTTCCTGTGGTACAGTCCAGATAGATGTCAGAGGCATTTAAATGAGGAAGATCAGCTCCAGAGGCAGCTAGTGGAGCGACAGCTGGCCTGAACCAGAGGCTGGCAGAGCAAAAGGGGAAAGTGAGGGGGAGCTCATGGATCTGCTCGACCAGCTCTTTGTATGTATGACAGGGACAGATTAAGTATGATGGAGGAGATGACTGTTTAGCTCTGTGTTTGTGTGTGTGTGTGTTTTGCCAAACGTAGAGGGTTTCAAAGGAATTCTTGTTTCTCTTCATCCCTCCCTCCCTTTCTATCACGTTTAACCCATTTTGGAAGGACAGTCGCTGGTCATTTGCTGTTTGGCATGCTCCATCCCCCGTGCCAGGACAGTATTTCTTTCCCTTTTATTATACTGTGTCTGTTCTCCCTCGGCCCTGCTAGCCACTGGTTAACGTAGGCTTTGAGGAGACAGGTACGCTCCATTTCCCTCATTCCTCACAGAAAACACAAATAACCCATTCCCCTCCAACCCTCCCTTTTTTCTCTTTCACTGGCACTCTCTTCTGCCTGTCCCTTGATGGAATTGTGTAGCAGCCTAAAGCAGTGCTGTCTGTGGCATGCAAAGGACAAAGTGTGTGGACTGATTACCCCACAAACTTGCTTTCTCATGCAATTTGAGAGAGGTTTAAATGTGCACTTCTGCACAAAGCGGCGCCACAGATCGATAATGTGTGCTGCACCTGCAGATGTGGGAATTAAAATGGGGTTCAAGGCAAAATAACATTCTATCTTTGTTTTTTAAGTGATTTCTTTTTTAAATTCTCAGGCAATTTTGCAAAGAAGAAGTGCAAAGAAGCACTTTTATTTCACATATTCAGAGACGTCAGCTGTTTGATGGCCTGCAAATGAGCCGGATGAGGAGTGTCAGATGTCATAGGCTTCTTACTGCAATGCCAGAGTCCATGCTTTATGGACAGGACTGATTATGATTTTTATTGTGGGTTCTGTTACATCTTACCAGACATTTTCAGATCACTTATGTTGATTTTCCAACATTATTAGAACAAATGGCTTTCACTGTGAGACATTCACCATAAAGGGCACGGGCACTTCTTGCTGGTTCTGTGTAGTCAGTGGAACCAGGTGCACAGTGGGTGCTTATTCAGGTCCTGCTGGGGAGTAGTGACAAACAGAAGAGTTGTTAAATAAAATGAATACAAATATTAATCTACAATATGTTATGCAACACTGGGAAATGTAAGTTGATTTGTGGATGAAGTTCCACAGGATGTAGCTTGAACCCTGACCTCTGGTTTCTAGGCTGCAAAAAGCTTTCCACATGTCACTGCAGCTAATCTGACCATCTGGTCTGAGTTAGAGTGGAGTTTAGATTCCCCATATTCTGTGTTGCTCCTGAAATATGCATGTCAGAGACTCTCTGGAATCTGATACTGCCTGGCCTTATTTTGAGACAGTCTCACTCATGTTAAAGCCTTCCTCTTGTGCCACAGTTGGATCAATAAATGGTTCAATCCACCAGATTATGTCCAAGTGAGCTGTTGATGGCTTTCATTTCTGAGTGTTTTCCTCTCAAACTGTTAGGGGGGATGAGTTGTTATGTAACCATAGATGCTGTTGATCCAAATATAGAATCCATTAAGGGATTAGCTCCGGGTCTGGAAGGCTTGGCTCGGCTCGGCCTCGCTGTGTCCCGTCATGGGACTGCATTCCACTCCAGCGACCATTGGTATCAAGACAGTCTCACCTGAAATAAACCCATCTTCAGCAACCTGCCCCTTCCCAATGATGGAGAAGATTTATCTGTTGATTCTATAGTTGTGCTTCCAGCTGAAGGACAGTTTAGCTTCTCAGCATTTGACCGCTTGTTTAGGAATGCTTTCTTTCTAGTCTTGCGTTCTTTCCATTTGTCTTGTCTAAGTTATAATCATCATTATTAGTATCATCTGTACAAATATTTATTTGTTAGGTCCTACGATGGACAGGCGGACCGTCCCGGGTGTACCCATTGAATACTGGGATAGGCTCCAGTACTCCCGTGACCCATGATGTGAATAAGCGATTAAATTGGATGGATGTTTCCAACTATTTTTAAGTTTATAGATGATATATTTTCCACGTGTATGTTCTGATCACAGATCCAGCTATTAATGATTTCCATTGCTAGCTCATCTACACACACTTTTCGATGACTTGTTTCCCTTGATGGATATTTTGTATTTTCGATTCTGTCACACTGGCTGTTACCACTGAGCTTTATGAACTTACAAAAATACTTCAAGCTACACACACCAGGAGTGAATTAACAGTCAGTTATTATTTATGGATTTAATATGATGACATTTCCAGAAACTTTCAAATGTATTTGAAGAGAACATACTGAACATACACTTCTGTAACCATCTTGCTTTCCCAACAAAAATCTTGTTACACCTGTTCATTATTTAGTAAAAATTGCACTTTTGAGATCTCATTTATTTCTATGGCAGCTTGATTTGACGAACACAGCTGACTATCCATGAGCAGAAGTTTGGGCTTTCCTCAGTGCGCTTTCTATAGTCTCAGATCATGTTCACAAATTTGTCTTGTGTTGAGTGGGATGTGTTTGGACAGCGTTAAGCAGAAGGCAAAAGCAGGCATGGTGACTGGTGGGTTGGATTTTTTATTTTTTTGCTACCATCATCTCTTCTGCCTTCATAACAACTATTCTGTATATATCAGAGAGTGTTTGTATACAATTCAATGAACACTTTTTGGAGTCCTTGTTGCAGACGCTAAATCAAACTGCAGATATCATAAAGTCTAGCCTCTCTGGCCTTCTTGAGAAGAAGGCGGACACTCAAGTGTCCATGGGCTAAAAAATTTAGCAGGATGATGAATATTTCAGTGACAGGTGCATAGTTCCAAGCAAAAGATTGATTTTTACCTAAAAATATCCCAATACATAGTGCCGAGGGCACCATCTACATTCAGCCGCTTCCTAATCACTATTAACAGGCTTTGTTAGGGGAATCTTCTTGTCCTAAGAAGTTATTTTTCAAAGACTGTCCATCCCTGTTAAGCCATGACAGCTAATTTTGTATAAAACTTGGGTCTTTTGGTTTGTTCTGGTGGCAACAAGGGTTTTCTTTAGTTGACGGGCTGACACTAAAACAAACTAAAATGTTCACAGCAGTTTATAATATAAAACTAATTTGTCACAGGTGTTTCTTTTAGAGGAAGAAACAACCAAATATACAGGGAAAAGGCCTCAGAATGGATGGAGGCCAAGAATCATGGCAAAAACCTGAGCTTTTAACCAGGAATTTTACAGCACAGGCTCCAGCTTTACTGATTACAAACCTGTTTAACCCACAAATAGGCTGAATTTGGCACTGAACTTAGAGCTAGTTCGACAGTATAAGAGGTGAAATCTATATGGTTGGACCAGTGTTGGATTAACCTACCAGCATGATAAAATCAATATCAAAGAGGGCTGCACGGAAAAAAAAAACTATGAGACACACTCTCATACTCAAATGAATCCATAGATGGTAAAATCCTCTGTGTAACTTTACACAAAGACAACTTCAAATTATTTAGACTCTTCATTCTTCCTGAAATGTCACTCTATTCCCTTTTGTATCTGCAGTTGATCTCCGTGGTCCTCGCCGCCTCCTTACTTCCCAGCATTCCTTGCCTGGGATCCCAGTGGCCTTGAAACAGTCCATTGACCTGCGCACGTCCATGGATGGGAAATACAAGGAGATCGCTGAGGTCAGAGCTCTGACACTGATCTGCGTACACTTTGACAGATTTGTTTAAATCTTACATGTGGCTTTAATGCTGCTTTGTGCTGGATGTGTGTCTCTGTGAAGGAGCTTTTCTCCCGCAGCCTGGCGGAAAGTGAGATGCGGAGCGCCCCGTACGAGTTCCCCGAGGACAGCCCCATCGAACAGCTGGAGGAGAAACGTCATCGCCTCGAGCGACAGATCAGCCAGGATGTCAAGTAGGTGACGAGGCTGTAAAGGCACCAACATGTAACTGTGTTTGCAGTCTGACTGGCGATCCTTGTGAGAGCTCAACATCTCTGTCCTCAGGTTCGAACCTGACATCCTCCTGCGGGCCAAACAGGAATTCATGAAGACTGACAGTGCTACCGATCTTGAGTAAGCCCACCGTCATCTCATCTTCACCTGCCTTTCCCTATCATAGAATGGGCATTAATTGTAAATTTACTGATGGATAATTAGACTCATAAAGGAGCAGAGCCAGGCTCCAGACCAGCAGGTGGGAGAGCCGGTTGTAGAGAGGGAGTACCAGAGAGTGTCTATTTCTGGAGAGGAACAATGTGGGGTAAGTCAGTGCAGTTTCTGCAATAAGAACATGAAAAGAGACATGTTTCCTCCATCTCCTCTTCTTTTTATTCTGTTGTTGTTCGACAAAGGTGCCGTTCACAGATTTGTTGGATGCTGCCAAGTGTGTGGTGAAAGCTCTGTTCATTAGACAGAAGTACATGGGTCTGTCACTGCAGAGCTTCTGCAGGACCACCGCCCGCTACCTGCAGGAGCTCAGTGAGAGACCTGTGGACTTTGATATCTACGAAGAGGAGGTCTCAGAGACCTCAGGATACGCAGGTAAGCATGTAGTGGTTTAGACCGTCATCCGACTGATCAGTCACAGCATTCCAGCCACTCACGTGTAATAAGAATCATGCTTATCATTAACGCGGTTATAAAACTGCAATGATGTTTTGAACCTTTCAGCTATTGAGTTCCTCTCTGCCTAAAATGGGTTTAAAATCATTGTGTCTGTGTGAAACATGTTGTCCTCATATTCATCTATACCAACTATGTTTCCATTTTTTCGACAAAAGCACTTGTCTGATATGCATGCGTAGTCTTCTCAAGATAAGATGTGTCTGGGCAGACCCACAGATTCCACGATCCACAATCTGCTGCACACCCCCTGAACATGCTGTCACAATGTGTAGGCTGACTGGCAGCACGTGCATGCCCACCTTGTTCAAAACCATGACTCAGTTCGCTGTCTCGGTTCAGATTCCACAGTGCACCCACCTGCTTCTAAAACACACCCCTACGAGAACCAGGACCCTGCCAGCATGCCCCCTGACGTGGGCTACGGCTGCAAGATGGTGGATGGTGTCATGCATGTGTACACAACAAGGAGCATTTTGGAAAAGTGAGAATTTTTTGACAAACCTCTGAGTGCACACATGCTCGTTCCTCAGTGTGAGAAGATGTGTGTTTTTAGATACAGTTCACACATTTCTTTGGCAGCGAAAACCTTCAAATTGTGATGTCGCTAACAGGCGCACAGAGCTGGACCTGCCCTACCCAGACCTGCAGGAATATATCGCTGACATGAACGTCATGATGGCTCTGATTATCAACGGACCAGTGTAAGGCTCCTCTCTGGATGGATTTTCCACCATACACAGAAGTATCCCAGAAGATCCAAACTACTGTTTTTATTTGTCTGCCTTTGTCACAGAAAGTCCTTCTGCTACCGCCGCCTGCAGTATCTCAGCTCCAAATTCCAGATGCACATCTTGCTGAATGAAATGAAAGAGCTGGCAGCTCAGAAGAAAGTGCCACACAGAGATTTTTATAATATCCGTAAGGTGAACTTGAGAGGTTTTTATACTTAACCTGATCCTAAGTATTTAGTATAACTCAGGACCAGACTCTGATGTCAATTTCCATCTTTTGTTTTGTCTGTGTTGTTTTACAGGTTGACACTCACATTCACGCTTCCTCTTGCATGAACCAGAAGCACCTTTTACGTTTTATCAAACGGGCCATGAAGAAATATCCAAAAGATATTGTACACATGGAGAGGGGCAAAGGACAGACCCTCATGGAGGTGTTTGAGAGTATGAACCTGACAGCCTTCGATCTAAGTGTTGACACTCTGGACATGCATGCAGTGAGTAATACTCATCAATCTGGCTATTAAAAAAAAAAGTGCTCCACCCTGTGGGGAATAATAGACAGACACTTTAAACAAATTTTTTTTAAATTATTTTTACAGGATCGTAACACTTTCCATCGATTTGACAAGTTCAATGCCAAATACAACCCCATTGGTGAATCCATTCTGAGAGAGATCTTTATAAAAACAGACAACTACATCGAGGGCAAATACTTTGGTCACATTATTAAGGTGCTCACTGAATGCACAATCGCTGACATATGCTGCGCACTTCCTCTGAACACCCTCAGAAGGTTTGTGAGTCTCTGCTGCCCTCTGGTGAGTAGTTTTGTTTGCTACTCAGGAGGTGATGGCTGACTTGGAGGAGAGCAAGTACCAGAACGTGGAGCTGAGGCTGTCCATCTATGGGCGCTGCAGGGATGAGTGGGACAAACTGGCCAAGTGGGCTGTGAAACATCAGGTTTACTCTGAAAATGTCCGCTGGCTTGTGCAAGTACCACGACTCTTGTGAGTTTCTTAAGCGGTGGAAATTAACCTAGTGCAGTCTATGTGCCTTTGGGCGATTGAAACTTACAGAAATGAGTTTAACCCTCACACTAATATATTACTCTGAGAAAAGTTAAAAGAGCTCTGCAAATTTTAGATTTGAATTCTGATTAATATCAAAACTTTTCAGTGGTCCCACCTTTATTTGTAGAGTTTATTTGCATCCCACTACTGTAACTATTTGGTTGTTACTATTCACAAACAGTACAACCATGCAACTTTAATTCTGCAAGCAAGCATCCTTAATTAATACTTCACATGGAGGTTTATCACTATGACTATTTATCTTCTTTTATTTGTCTTTTTGTCTCCTTTTCAAAGTGACGTCTATCACACAAAAAAACAGCTGTCTAACTTCCAGGAGATGCTGGAGAATGTCTTCACGCCTCTATTTGAGGTCACAGTCAACCCCAGCAGCCACCCAGAGCTGCATCTCTTCCTGCAGCAAGTGCGACATCGTTACTGTGCAAATACGCGCTCTGCTCTGATCATTCAGACATTTCAGAGCCGAAAGGGTTTTAAGGACCTGGTTTTTGTCCCTCACACAGGTTGTTGGTTTTGACAGCGTGGACGATGAATCCAAACCAGAGCAGCATATCTTCAACCTTGACAGTCCTTTGCCCGCCAACTGGACCGAAGAGGACAACCCTCCTTATTCCTACTACCTCTACTACATGTATGCAAACATGACTGTGCTGAATCACCTGCGCAGGTATGTTAATCATAGTTTAAATCATGCCCCCCTTCCTGGCTGTCTGGTTATTACGCAGGTCATTTATATCTATAAAAAGGATTTGTTCCAGAAAAGTTATTTGACTTTATTTCAACATGGTCATCTTCTTTCCTGAGTTTCCAGCTCCTTTCAATCCAGCTACACTTCAAAACCAACCAATTATTTAGGTTTCCAACCCTGAAAATACACTCAGCCTTTGGATTCGGCCGGGATTCACCCTTTGCTTTTATCTATCAGGTGTTTGGTGATATATCACAGGAGGACCACAGTGGATGTTCATTTATGGTTGATAGCAGACAAATCTGAATTTAACCTTCCACCATCTGTGTGTCATTTCATTCCAGGCAGCGGGGGTTTCACACACTCGTACTACGTCCTCATTGTGGGGAGGCCGGGCCAATCCATCACCTTGTTTCTGGTTTCATGCTGTCAGAGAACATCTCCCATGGGCTACTGCTTCGCAAGGTGTGTGGCAAAAAGTCATTGGAATTTTTCTGCCTTTAACTCGTGCAGATTTATTTTTTCCATTTGCACTTCTGATTTGACTTCTTTAAGGTGTCACTGGGAAAGGCTTGATGCAGACCTCGTTTTGTAAAATCCCTCTACATCCCTCCAGGCTCCTGTGCTGCAGTATCTGTACTACCTGGCTCAGATCGGCATCGCCATGTCTCCTCTCAGCAACAACAGCCTGTTCCTTAGCTACCATCGTAACCCTCTGCCAGAGTACCTGTCGAGAGGGCTCATGGTCTCTCTGTCCACAGATGACCCTCTGCAGTTTCACTTCACCAAGGTGAGAGAGACATTAGCCACACACCTGTCATACACTGTGTATGTGGATGTCATTTTGCAACTGAATCGTGTCATCTTCTCCAAGTCTGTGGGAAGTTTATCTGTGTAATAAAGAAAACACATTCATTATCAATCAAATGTCAATATATTTAACTGTATATTCAATTCCTTAAAGATGAAGTCCTTATGAAGTTGCATACGAGGACGTCTGCTGCATCAAAGTCCTCCTTTGCATGTCCGGCCAGCATAAGCTTTAACATGACCACATAATGAACTTCCAACCTGCCTCACATTTCTATAAATGCATCACTATTTCACTTCAATTGCTGTAAATGTTACTTGCCTAGCTTTATTTCAGAAGTGTTTGCCAAGCATTTAACAAGCAACCCAAAGTGCTTTACAGCTATCCTCAAAATTAAGGATGAATACAAAAGTTTAAATGATTAAAAGTAAAGACAGGGAAAATACACTCAAAAGACAAATTTTGAAAATAAGGAGAAAACGCCCTAAGTATTGAGTTTGCTTTTTAAATTCCACAGCCAAACATGTTGGAGCAGAACCTTTTGTTCTGCCCCCACCCCATTCTGGTTTTGAACATTCTGGGGATAAGATAGTTCCTCTGGGCTGATATAACACAGATATCTGTATGAAACTCAACTGTTCTAAGTATTTATATGTGAATATCTAAACCGAACTGCATGTGTTTCTGTTGTAAAGGAACCTTTGATGGAAGAATACAGCATCGCTGCTCAGGTGTGGAAACTGAGCTCCTGTGACATGTGTGAGCTGGCCAGAAACAGTGTGCTGATGAGTGGATTCTCTCAGAAGGTAGTTGTCATCTATCCAGAACATTGTAATTTATCCTAAGTTAGTGTTTTTGTGGCCATGAGACAGTAGTTTAACCTCGCTCCAATTTATCTCCTGGATCAGGTGAAATGCCATTGGCTTGGTCCAAACGCTTTTAAGGAAGGACAAGAGGGCAATGACATAAGACGCACCAACGTCCCCGACATCCGAGTAGCGTACCGCTATGAGACCATGTGTGAGGAGCTGAATTTAATAACACAAGCCATTCGCACTGATGCGCTGGAGACCATCGAGGAAGAAGGCAATCTGTGTATGGGGGCGGTCAAGGCCGAGAAGTGAACAAGCAGCAAAACACAAATAGAAGTCTCATTACATTCCCTGTTTGAACACCAGGACGTATTTGTAGATATGTGCATATGATGCTATGGAGAGGACCTGCAGTCTTTGTGACCAGATGTTTGCCTCCTTTAGCTTCCTCGGTTTCTCCTTTGATCCGTTTTCAGATTTGATGACGTCCATTGAACACTCGTGAAAATGTTCTTGTCGGTGGCTTGTGGGCATGTTTAGTCACCATTTCTGTGCTTCACCTGTAATCCCTGCACCAAGCTTTGGATAGTGGTCCCATTCAGCGAGAAACTATTTATAAAACACTCACTAAAATCAATGCCTGATTTTAGTAAAACAATCTGGAACTTTTCGGCAAAAAGAGAGAGAACCTATCTGCTGATTTTATCAGCAGGTCCATTGCAATTTTTATAAACACCACAAATCAAAATTACTTGTAGCCAAAAGCCATATGTATTGTTACCACAGTGTATCCAAAATAACTACATGTCTCCTTGAATCTGATCCAGATGGCTTCCAGTGTGTTCTGTAACTGTTTAGCAGTAAAAACGCTCCAGTGAATTGTATCCCCTCACGCTGTCTGTTCCCACTGAAAACCCAACCACCCCATTTCAACACGTACACAGGTGATTATATTTCCATCAACAAAAAAGCCGGGGCGGGATGTGGGGAGCTGTAGCAGTGCAATGTTACATAAGTGGCACAGGTAGTCATAACAACTGGCTAAAAACACCACCCTTTGTACTTGTGTGGTGGTTTTGTGGAGGTGAGCGACTCAAATCCATGTTACCTCATGAGAAGAGCAGTAATGTGTTATAACACGTTTGGTTTATATATGTTGCATTGGTGGGCCTCTTTATATAAAAATGTAGATCGGATCGAGTACATTTACTAGATCCAACAAAGATTTAAAGAATTGCACAAGGGACTGTTTGAAAGGGAATAATAGAGGACTTAGAGAAAACTCCCTGGGGTGTATGGCCTTCACATGCTCTTATTCAAACAAGAGGTGTTTGCAAAGTGTTTAAAGATATGTGCTGTGGATAGCTCCCTTTTTCTTTTGGAAACATGATTTGGTGGGTCAGTCCGTCTCCTAGTCTCTTTTGCAGTTGCAATGACTCTCCTTTCTGCTGCTGCACCCCACGCATCAGGATATTAACTGACACAGCCATAACAAACATATATCAGCTATAACAAATCACAGCTGATGACACACATCTGACGTCCTCATCTCTGCTAAACAATGCAGCCGGTGATGATGAGTGAATGACCAATGCAGTCATTTATTAATGTTATTCTGTTTTTTTTCTCGGTTGTTTTGCTTTATTGTTTATCTTTATCTATAAGGTTCTACTACTACTACTACTAAAAAAAAACTGTGTGCACCATTATGAAACAGTTTCAGTACACAATCCAAGTATATGATCACCTAAAGCCATAAACACAACAATAAAACTGTTTTCAACCTCACCAGTTTAATGTTTATGTGCCTGCAGGGAGAAGAAATATTACTGTACTAAGCTGTTTTCTACAGGTTGCAATCCTACTATTACACTTAGAGAATATTAACTGAGCTCTGAAGCCCAGACGATGGCATATATTTGAGGTTATGATGAAGTTTAAATTATAGCTCAAGGGGTCTCTCACACGTCTGTGTAGTGATGCTACACACTCCTAGTGACATGCAAACTTCCCTTATATGATATTGTTCCCTCTGGCAGTCTTAACTTTGACCCTTCACCATCTGTTTCTTGCAATGAAATATCTAAGCTAGATGTTTCTAAATCATAGCTCAGTGTGTGATGCATGATGAATTGTTCTTTCAGTTTTTGCTCCAAGCGCTATTCAACCAGTGAAAAATCCACAACTAAGTATCAGGAGGTAAAAGTTCCCGAACTTCATAAACTCCTCTTTTACAGTCCTGTTTTCAGTTTGGACCCTGGTTTCATGACTGCTGACACTTTTTGTTTTCAAAAAGACTGAATGTGTTTGTGATCTCCCAGAGAAATGTATGTACTACTTGTGATGAAGATTTAATGCCAACTGTACTTGTCCAAAATAAAAATGAGTTTTGCCGAGCTTCTCATCTCTTTTACATAAAAACACCAGTTAAAAAAGTGGTCAATACAAAACCACTAACACAAAGTAGATGTGTCATTTTAACAGAGTAATGAGGACTGCTTCTGAGTCAGCACTTCACAGTCAGCTGGGCTTCTGTGGGAGTGTACCAGTGAGTAAGCTACAAAGACGGCATTGTTGTTCAAATTCATTAGCGTAAGTAAAAGTGAGGAGAGGTTGTATCATGACATTTAGATCAAACAATCTCCATCTTTAGAAAATATAAAAAAAGAAATCGAAAAATCGGCTACCTCCATACGTTTTTACTTACATTATAAAATCCCTGTATTTTTAGGACATCCTAACCTAATCTGTATTTTTTGACATTGTGCACATTTGCGTTTAAACACATAATCTTTGTGAAAATAGAACATCTCCATCATAGGATGATCATGAGAGCTGCTATTGAGACGACCTACAAACTACGTGCATGTGTGTTTGCTTTGTTTAGTTTCCCCGATTCCTTCTTTACTTTTGCTCCAGATTTAATGATTTTAAAAAAAGATTCAAATGTTAAGAAGCTGTTTTAAGCTTTTCAGACCAAATCTGACATATCATTTATTTAAAAAGGGAAGAAAATTATGATATCAATCGCTTGTGTAACGCAGATTATTAATGCATGTAATGAATCATCATAGTAATGAACCATATAATGCATTTTATCCAACAGAACAAAATGACACATTTGAGCATCAAGTTTTAACCATGAAATCTGATTTAATACACCCAGTTAACAACGAAAACAAAGGGACAAATCCACTTATACAGAGCTGACAATGAATTGTAAATTAATTACCTGTAAAACACACCTACATTAAACTGACTGCCAAACATGGATAAAAGATAAATGTGGCATGACTAAGCTAAATCTTATCACAATTTTTACTGGTTGCAGGGACAGGTCGATAAGATGAATCCATGACCTCTTATTTTCTAAATTACAGAGGCTCCTTTCACTTCTCACCAAAAGAGGCAGCTGAATAGATTAAGTCAAATGAACACTCTCAGTGGGGTTTTTTTTTGTCTGAGCGGAATCACTGTTGGCTTTGGGCTGCATGGCACATTCTGCAGTACCTCATATTGTCTGACAAGTAGAAAAATCAACATCTTCTCCACCTTCTGTTTGCAGTCTTCACATTGATTCAGTGGAGTGAAATGATTAGTCTCCTTGCTTTTAAAAGCACGGAATTTATTCATACTGTTTTTGAATTAATATTTAATGCAAACTGTATTTGTCCAAAATAAAAAATGAGTTCTGCCAGGCCGCTTTTGTATTTTACATAAAAAGACCAGTTTGAAAAGTGGTAAGTACTAAAACACTAACACAAAGTAGATGTGTCATTTTCACAGAGTAATGAGGACTGCTTGTGACTCAGCACTTCATATTCAGCCGTGCTCTCTGGGAGTGTACCACTGAGTAAGCTACAAAGACGGCATTGTTTATTTAGGTCATGTTCAAATTCAACAATGTGAGTGACAGTGAGCAGAGATTGTACCATGAAACTTCGACCAAACACGAAGCTCCATCATTTGAAAATATGAAAAAAAAGACACTGCCAGAAAAATCACCTGCCTACATAAAGTTTTATTCACATTATAAAATGCCTGTATTTTCTGGTCATTACAGGCTTATCTTGAAATTTTTAGCTGAGTCATGGTGAGTAACCATGCTCATAAAGAAGAGCTGGGTTAATAATTGCGCATATATATCCTGCACCAGCGATAAGCGAAACTCTTCTGTATGCAAGCATTGAGACATATCACCTTGGGGGGAAAAAGATATTCCCACACTGTATTAACTTTATTTAGTTTACTTGAGTCAAGTATATTTCAATGTCTGCCACTTTTAAGTTTCAGGTTCAGATTACTGCTAACTTTTGAAACTCCACCACATATGTTGCTGGCTGCAGCCTCATGAACCTGAATGAGACACACAGAGACACACAAGGAAAAACAAACAAGCAGGCTCGCTCAAACTCACTCCTAAGGGCAATTTGGAATGCACACCAATGTGCATGTACACCAATGTGAGCTGGTAAATAGACTAAAGAGGTTGGTCAATATTTACCGTTTTTCCTGCACCTGTTCAGGCTATAGGTGAAGCCCTTTTGTTTGCAAGATGACCCACAGATTTAGATTTTAACAGAAATCTATTCATGAAAATCTCATCCAACAGTTTTTCGTTGTTCCGTCTTTTATAGAAACTTCCAGGCTCAGTGGGATTTTCACTTACAATACCCGTTGATGTATTTCTGTTTTTTGCACCTTTTGTGTATCCATAAGCACCCACCAGGCCGGTTTCGAACCCGCGGAACGGGAAAGGGGTAACAATGGCGGCTAACTCCGCCCATTCGCACGGGTCTGTCCTCACACGGGCTGAAAAGAGTTTCAATTCGGGGTACGTTAACGGGTCGACTTCTCGTCCACGGTGACCGCTTCGTTTTCCGCTACACTTGCTACTCCAATAAAGTTAATAAAAATGGCAATGACACTTGCTTACTGGGATATTCGTGGGGTAAGTTGTGCACGTTTAATTGTTTGAATGGCCTGTCGCATTGTTTGACGCGAGCCGCTGATGAACGGGAGTCGCTGCAGAGCTACGGGACCTCCGTTTAGCATGTGCCTTTCGTCTGTGTGTCTTCTGTCTTTTTTTTGTTTTTCAAGTCTCATTCACACGGCAGTCCGTTTTTGGAAGGTACAGCGGCTCCAGATAATCTTATATAACTTCAGCTGGTATCCTTGCGCGCATGCTCACAGCCTATGCTAACCTGTGACGTCAACCGTTTTTAAGCTTTTGTGTACCGTTTGCACGTTTTATATTATCAATCCTTAGAAATTGTGTGTCTGTGTGTATATATATATATATACAGTATATGTGTATATATATATACACACACACATATACACAGATTAAGATTATCACAATTTAAACAATAGGGCCTTTATTGACTTAATGAGCAGTCTAAACTTGAAGTTTATTTCCAATTGTTCCTCAGTTAACTCTGTTTAACTTCTATGTTTTTTTTTCACTTTAAATAAGGCTAAAACTTTGCTTTTTCATGAAAACCAAAAATTTTTCATGTCTGAGCAGTTATGAAATGGGCCCTTCAGGCAAAGGATACAGTGTTCGTTCAACATGTTATAGCAGCAGATTGTTTATTATTGGGCCAACCACTTTGTTAAAAAGGAACCTCTTTGATTCTCCTTGAATTGAGTGAAACCACAGACAAGTATCTGAAAACCAGGGTTGTGTTTTCTTTGTTTCTGTCATCTTTCATTTTTTAAATGTTATTCTTTAGTTAATCAACTTTGACCATAAGATGAGGTCAATGACTGGAGCAGTAGCCAGTGTAACATCTGATCTAAATATGTTTGCATAACCATTTTCACACATGAACAGCAGAGACTTTCTGGAGAATGCATGGAAGTGCAGGCCAGACCTTCCACACAGATGCTGTTCCCACATGCACTTTGCAGCAGGGATTTATCTACTGGAAATGCGAGGGAGAGGCATTTTGGCAGAAAGCAGAGGACATGGGATGGGTCGGAGAACAAAAATAATAAATTGAGCTGTGTGTTTTCCCAAAACCACCTGCATAACTACTATACTAAATAAGTTGGAGTCTACCAGATTGCCATATCACAGAGCAAGTGAAAAGCACCATTCAGATAATTTGGCCTCACCAAAGGCAAAAGATATTTGTGTGTCACATTCCTTCTTTCTGGAGCTTTTCTGAGGATTTTCCAAGCCCATACGTAAAAATGTTTCCATGTTTTGATATTGTGATGTCAAAACTGCTGGAGTCTGAAAGACAGGCTATTAAGTTGTAATGTATGAAGACCCAGTATTTAAAGAAATGATGCACCTATTGAAGCTTTAATTTTTACAGATCTATCCTGCCTTTAGGAGCAAAGATGGCAATATCTTTGGTTCACATTTTCAGCGACCATATTTCCAAGATTCAATTCAATAAACCTTTGTATATGATCCTGTAAGCAAGTATTTGTGCTTCCTGAAAGGAGTAGGCCCATATATCGTTGCACTGCAGCATGCAGTGAAGAAAGAAATTTATGAACAACTCAAGCCTGACTTGGGCTGGCTGTTGGAAAGCAAAGTGCTTCATGTTGGATGTTCCTTTCCCTGAAATGTTTTATGGGAGCCTTTAACAGAGTTGTGATGGATGTGTACTCGGCACTCACACATTTCATGCTGCTTTCCTGTCTTCCTGCCACTGGTGGCATGAAGTCAGCTGAAGGGTCCAGAAACTGCTTCATATTTGTCAGAGATTTGATCATCTCGAGGGAACATCTGTATTCCAGATGCCACGTGGAGCTACTCGGTTCTCAGCTCTGAGATGAGCTGGGCCTGCATTCACATCTTCTGTGAGCACATTTCACAGGCTGCTCTGAGCCCTTTTTACAGTGCCATCAGCAGCATTGATGCATCCACATTTTTCATGCATAGAGCACACTATGTGATTAAGTAGCGGCCACACGTCTGTGAGAGTTACTACTTGATTGATAAATGAAATTTCCAAAAGGGTCTTGGGTTGAAAGGGAAAATGGTTTTAGTTATCATCCCCAGTCAGTGAGCCCATCCAGTTGGCCAGTTGTCTTTCATTTTTCCATCCAGTGTAATTTATCCGAACCCCTTCTGTCTTGTCTCTGGCTTAAAGCTTATGACTAAAAGCACCATAAAACAAATGTTTTACTGCTTAAGAGCCACAGCTTTATTATGAAACGGGACCTAATTTAAGATAATAAAAAAAAACACTTCTGTGCACATTATAGCATTGTCAGAAAGCTAATAGAAATGCTAGCAAATTCTTTATGGATGGTTATGAAAAAAACTTAGAGCTCTGTGTGGTGACATATATGAATTTTTCTCCCACCTCTGATCTTTTGCAGCTTGCTCAGCCCGTCCGCCTCCTGCTGGAGTACACTGGTACCAAGTACGAAGACAAGTTTTATTCCTGTGGTGAAGGTAACTTAAAATTTCAATCATCAGATAAACAACTGCCGTGTTTATCTGACTAAACATCTGACTCCACATGTCTCTCGTGCAGCTCCAAACTATGACAAGAGCTGCTGGTTTGATGAAAAACCAAAGCTTGGAATAGACTTTGCCAATGTAAGAGAATTGACCCTGAGCATAGTCGATTTTTCTGATCGTTATGTTTAAACTATTGGATTGTTTTATCATGACCCAAACTTTTCTTGTAGCTGCCATATCTGGTGGATGGAGACAGGAAGATCGTGCAGAGCAATGCCATCATGAGATACATTGCTCGTAAGAACAATATGTGTAAGTATTTTGTGTTTATTCCATTTAGGGATTTTTCATTCACTCACAATTATTTGTTTTTACCATTTAAAGGAGCAAAAGTACTGTTTCATGTCCATTCTTTCCTTTCTGAAACTGGAAATGTTGCTCTGATAACAGGCGGAGAGACTGAAGATGAAAAGGTCCGTGTGGACATCCTGGAGAACCAGTCCATGGACTTCAGAAATGGCTTTGTGAGGATGTGCTACACTGACTTTGTGAGTGTTAGCTTGGATAATGCGTCTTGTCTTATTGAGTGCCTCGGCATATTCCCTCATAGCCGTCTCCCTTCTCTGGAATCAGGACAACATGAAGCCGGGATACATCAAGACCCTGCCAGGCGTATTGAAGCAGTTCTCAGATTTCCTGGGCGACAGGAAGTGGTTTGCTGGTGACAAGGTACCGTGAGACGGAAACGGCAAAGCATTTAGCCTATTTCAATGATAAAGTTGTTTTTTACTCATCTGCAAACTGGTTGTGAAGCTATGTTGACCTTGACTGAGGTCTGAGCATTGCTCATACTCAAAACTTTGAGGAACATCAAAACAGAGCTTTTAGCTTTGTGCATGTATGAGAAAAACTGCGAGGTCTTCAGGACTACTTATCAACAGGTTGTTTCAGTTGCGCAGAAAGTTGCTTATCATCCATATGAGCTGAATGATCACGTCTTTGCTGAGTCAGACCTGTTTGCTGAGTCAGAGCCACTTTTGCTGACTCACTTCCATTTATGACTTTCATTTTTTTTTATTAAAGTTGTTGGATTTTTTTGTTAGTATGTTCCATCATTTTTTTAGAAGATAAAACTTCACCGTACACGTTCTGTTTATGAAAATAAAAACCTAGGCAAAACCTAGTTTTAGAGTGAACAATATTTTCAGGTTGGCAGTTTTCCATAGGACAGTCTACTGAAGGAGCAAAGGACACTTGATAACAGAATGAATCGCTTTCTTAAGTACATAGAGCCTTTTTATGGCTGACCTTTTATCTCTTATACAAAGCTTACATTGTTCAGCCTGCTGGATTAGCATAATTTCTAACAAGTACATTAATTTAACGAATAAATAATCAAATATACTGGTAATTATTTTTTCAGCTGTTAACGCTAACTTTTCTTCACAACAGATCACATTTGTTGACTTTATCATGTACGAGCTGTTGGATCAACACAGGATGTTTCACCCTCCATGCCTGGATGAATTCAAAAACCTCAAAAATCTTATGGACCGTTTTGAGGTGAGAAGAAGTGACATTAAAGGCTACTGAAAGAGTCAAATGACCTATCTATTATATATTAATTTATTTGCCTTTCTTACTGAAATGGGCTTTATTTATGGTCAACAAAAGGGCAAAATGTTTATTTTTTTAATCCATGGTATCTGATTATGTTTGAATAAGATGAACAACCTTTTCATTTCAAATAATTTTTCTTACCTTTGTAGTCCTTGGAGAAGATTGCTGCGTACATGAAATCAAACAGATTCATGAAGACACCCGTCAACAACAAGATGGCCAAATGGGGAAACAAGAAAGAGTGAAGAAAAACTCTATAAAACAATAAAGTGCTCTTCACCAAGTCCTAATGACTGAATCAACCTTAAATTACCGGACATCTGAAATGTTTATGTCCTATTTGTTTTCTTATAATCAGGTTTGTTGTCCCAGAACTGGATGATTGATATCTTTGACTAACATCATTTGTAGTTTCTAATTCTGCAAAAGGATAACATGGAATAAACTTGCTGGTGTTAAGATGTTGCAAGTGGTAACTTAGTTATGCTCTCACACCTGTTTGATTTGATTGTTTTTTTTAATAAAGCTAGTCCTGTACTAACTTTGCTCCATTCTCTTCAGTGTTTCATTCACTGTTGCACTTTCTGCAATACACTTCCTGTTAAAATTGTGAAATTAAGCATTTAATGAAGATTTAAGTTAACATAGGAATATTAATATTGTGGATGCACACCTCAACAATAATGAGAAGGGAGTTGTTTTGAATGGTACATTCTTTCTTTAAGCAGGAAAATAAATAGTAGTATAATTATTTTCAGGATAACTGATTACAGCTGTTGCTGTATAACAGTGGATCATGTAGTTAAGGAGGCTTTTGGGGAAATAATAAAGCCGAACTGGATGAAGTTCAGTTTATGATGGGATTTACGGGATCGTCACCGACACAAAAGATCCACCCTGACACCAATGTTTCCACGTGCTGCTCCTCGGCTCTCAGTAGCAGCTGTTGGCTTTGTCATGTGACACATTGCTTACTGCAATTGATGACTTGACAGCCTGAAGCTGGAAGAAGACCTTGCCTGCTTCCTCTGGACATACAGTCCGTATCTCCTCTTTTGACATTCCCAAAAGCACATCACTGCTTAGCACCCCGAGAGTAGAGACAGTGCTGTCAAAAAGAAGGCAAAGAAGCTTCAGCTTGAATCTGTGAAAACCAGGTCTGATTTACAGTTCAAACATATTCAAGGTTTTTTAATCTCTGAGGACATTTTTGGTTGGAGACAGTAAGGAGTTCTGTCCAGTCACTGTTAAGTAAAGTCAAAGGAACAAACAATCGCTCATTAATTCTGGTACATGCATCCTTTATCAAAACAACTTACCTCTTGGTTCAAATTTAGATTATCTAGGGGCCTTTGTGTTTCAAAGGCTTAAAAAATCATCTCAGGAATGCTGGTGACTTGCCACTAAGACCTGTTCTACTTTGGTTCACTTCCTCTGGGGGGGTTGGAGTTCTTATCTTGTGGATTTGTTGATTAAAGTCCATAGATTGGATAAAATGTTGCTTAACTGTCTCTAAGCATGAAAAAGTGTCAGAGGAGATGATTGTCAAAATGTGTTTGATACACAACATTAGAATTATGATAAATCTAATAAACAGCATTGTTAAAAAGTTGTCCCCCAATTTTTCAACTCGAGCTTCTCGACTGCTGCAGAAACGCCTTTATGGATGTTTCACGAGCAATACATTTCTCACGTGGGGTGGGTTCACAAACCGTGGCAGCCTGAGTTAGTGTAGTTTTCGCACACACCAGCATGATTACACCATGCAAGAGCCGACTCGGGCCAAGAATAAAGCAGATGACCGACGATTCGACCCGCCCACTTCCTCCACCTGTGTGCTCCCAGACTGTATAAAACCTCAGCTCCACTCTGCTCACCCACACAGAACAGTGCTTTGTTCTCAGCATCTGCTCCATCCACATCCACTCCTGCTCCAAACGACTTCACCAAAATGGCAATGACTTTTGGTTACTGGGACATCCGCGGGGTAAGATCTCTTTCATGGTGGAGGATTTATCAAAAACTCCTGCAAACACCAAGGCAATCGCTTGGTGAGCTTTTTTGTCCTAAAAAGTCATATAGAAGATTTATCAATATAATAAGTAAAAACTTATTCAATGGTACATAATAATGTCTGGTTAAATGTTTAAATTTAAATGGAAATGATGGTTATTTCAAAGAAGATGGCCATAGGCATAACATTTATAGTGATTTTGCAGACATGTTTATTGCTAATAATCTTTCTATGAACCCAGCCTGAGTTCAGGCATCTGGGGTTTCATTTTGCTCATTTAACCAGATACTGATTCATTAATGTACCTAAAATAGATTCCATTCCTTTTCACAAAAAAGGGATACTAGTTGTGCAAGATATTTCTAAATGCAGTTTTATCATTTATATTGTTGTAAAACCCAACTTTTTCTTAACTGAAAAGTGAGCCGATGCAGAGTCTGGCAAGCCACATTCCTCAATTTTCTGGAATCTATAGCACTCCAACTTTAGCAAAGAAAATATATACTCCTCAAAATTTATTTGGAAAATAAAATATGGTCTTGCTGATGTGTGAGGTAAACCACATGTGATAATCAGTCTCCCAGAATGACCATTGTATTGAAAGACCACTCATTATATCTGTATTAACTGCAGTAAACATACTGGCAAACAATCTGACTGCCCTTCAAAAAAACTAAACATTGTTTGAACACAAACTGCATGTTTTAGAAAGACATTTTTCTGGTAAAGGAAAAACCTTGGCTTCAGTTAGTGCCACCCATACATATTTACTTGTAATTGTAATATAAGTAATATAATAATATCAGATCATCTCAGTGATGTGCAAAATAAAACCTCTGTGGACCTTTCTGATTCCTTGTTTTTTCATCGGAGAAGTACTAGCAACACACTTAAATGTGACGCATCCTCACTGATTCAACACTACCAAGTTGTTAGACGCTAACACCTGCTCTCTGACCACTGGTTTTAAATTGAATTTATAAGCAGTTAGAACTGTTCACTGGGCTTCATGCTGGTTTGTACTGTCAGTTCAAATCACCTGTGGCCCTAAAGTTTTAGTGGAGATGTAACCTTTTCAAAATAAATTGTTAACAGACTTTTCCTCCTCATAAAACAGTAATATGTAGTTTGAAACTGGCACAGGTTCTCCCTGACTGAAAAATACCTTATTTTTATTGTTTGATAAAAAATGAATCAGTTTGTGCTTATCAATTTAAAAGCAAATAGAAATATATGAGCAGTTTATGAGCAGTTATCTTTTTTAATCTCCCCCATAAAAACACCAGCAGCCGTGTCTGCTCCTGGTGAAGTTTGGTGAAGGTTTTAGTCTTTACATGTTTAACTTGAACTGGGCTTTAAACATTTCAAAACTTCTAATTTGCAAACAACATTAAAAAATCTGTACAAATCACAAAAAAGTGTTGGGGTCAGATTCCTTATTGGATGTTCCTTTCCCTGGAATGTTTCATGGGAGCCTTTAACAGAGTTGTGATGGATGTGTACTCGGCACTCACACATTTCATGCTGCTTTCCTGTCTTCCTGCCACTGGTGGCATGAAGTCAGCCGAAGGGTCCAGAAACTGCTTCATATTTGTCAGAGATTTGATCATCTCGAGGGAACATCTGTATTCCAGATGCCACGTGGAGCTACTCGGTTCTCAGCTCTGAGATGAGCTGTGCCTGCATTCACATCTTCTGTGAGCACATTTCACAGGCTGCTCTGAGCCCTTTTTACAGTGCCATCAGCAGCATTGATGCATCCACATTTTTCATGCATAGAGCACACTATGTGATTAAGTAGCGGACACATGTCTGTGAGAGTTACTACTTGATTGATAAATGAAATTTCCAAAAGGGTCCTGGGTTGAAAGGGAAAATGTTTTTGTTTTCATCCCCAGTCAGTGAGCCCATCCAGTTGGCCAGTTGTCTTTCATTTTTCCATCCAGTGTAATTTATGGCGACTTTCCCCCCTTCTGTCTTGTCTCTGGCTTAAAGCTTATTACTAAAAGCCACATAAAACATATGTTTTATCATTCACGATCCTCTGCTTCATTAATAAAAAAAAGATACTGGTGTCTTTAAGACTCAAAGCAGTATTACATTTTCTATGTACATATTAGCATTATTTTAAGTATATAAAATGTCCTTTGTTGTCATAAACAATATGCATTTACTTAACACCACTCTTTCTCCCACCCCTGATCTAATGCAGCTGGGCCAATACATCCGCCTCATGCTGGAGTACACCGGCTCCAAATATGACAACAAGGTCTATGTCTGTGGTGAAGGTAACTTGATGTTTCAAATGAATAATAAGCAGCTGCTATTATTTGAACAGAAGGTCTGACTCATTCACATGGTCCACACGTCTCTCAAACAGCTCCAAACTATGACAAGAGCTGCTGGTTTAACGTGAAGTTTAAACTTGGACTGGACTTCCCCAATGTAAGAGAGTTCAACCTGTGCATCATAACTTTACTCAGCAGGTTTTTGCTGCTCAGTGATTTATTACAAACAAAACTTTTAATGCAGCTTCCCTACCTGGTGGATGGGGACAGGAAGATCGTGCAGAGCAATGCAATCATGAGATACCTTGGTCGTAAGCACAATTTGTGTAAGTATTGTGCGTTTATTCCATATGAAGTTTTTCTTTGTTTCCAAGTCCTCTTTTTTTATCTTTTCACTGCGTATGAATGTAAGAACACTTCTGCTATAGTTTTCTGGAATTGAAGTGAGCAATTTCACTACTTCAAGTTCATCCTCTCAGTTCTGGATGTTTTGCTCTGATAACAGGCGGGGAGACTGAGGATGAGAAGGTCCGCGTGGACATGCTGGAGAACCAGATCGTGGATGTCAGAACTGCCTTCATTAGGATGTGCTACACTGACTTTGTGAGTATTTGCTTAAATGTTACACGAATGTTTTGACGCCTTTAAATCTCCACTAATAGCAGTCTCGCCTCTTTGGATCTAGGACACCATCAAGCCAGAGTACCTCAAGACTCTACCAGGTGTACTGAAGCAGTTCTCAGATTTCATGGGGAACCGGAAGTGGTTTGCTGGTGACAAGGTACGTCAACCCATGAACCCGATGGCCACAACTAAAGAAGATGGGAATATTCAAACATTTGCATTTGATGGTGTACTTGTTTTTATTGATTTATTGATTTATTAATTGTATTTTCACACAATACTCGTATTCAGTGGAGTACTACACCGTAGGTATTGCAGCCCTCTGTCACTTTTAATTTGAGTTTGTACAAGTTCGCTAATACCAATTGGCTAAGTAACATTTTGCACAAAAAAAGTCCTTTTTGTGAAAAATAAATGTTTCAAATGCCAATTTAGCCTACCTTAATAGAATAGATTGCCTTCCATTGACTTAGCCTGCCACCTACTGGATATTTAGGATTTGAAAGCAGCCAAACACTAGAATAACACTGCACTGGACACTGACATCAGCTTAATTTTTTTTTTTCTTATAATTGTTTAGCATTTAAGGAGCAGGATCACATACATATTGCATTTAAAACCCTATCTTATGATTTATTTTGAATTGTTCCTGCTTTCAGTGCATCTGATTCATACTTTAATTCAGTCATTCCTGATGACCAAAACTAACTCTAAGTCTTCACATGTACACATAAACTCCTGCTGCGTTTCAGTTCCATGAGGATAATATTTTAAAGTAAAGATTTAAAACAATGTTTTTAAGAATCTGCAGCAGAGTTTATAGTGAGAAGAAAAACAAATAGGACTCTTTTAGATCGGTAATCTTCTTCATAATAAGTCTGTTATATTGTCATTTGACATTTAAACCATAATGAGATGACTGACATGATTTAAATGAGCAACAACAAGGGCACTGCTGTTATTTCCTTTACAGCTGTTTCCCACAGCCGTTAACTTTCACTTTTCTGCACCACAGCTCACGTTTATCGACTTCACTGCATACGAGCTGCTTGATCAACTCAGGCTGTTTCACCCTCCATGCTTGAATGAGTTCAAAAACCTTAAAGACTTCATGGACCGTTTTGAGGTGAGATCGCAGAGCTAAAAAATGCCAGCAGCACATGGTATTTGCCATTGAAAGACTTCAGTCATAAAAAGAACCTCTTTGCTGGTCTGTGATGTCTTTATGTAAAGTGTTATTGTTTACTGAAGACACTTTTATTACTCTGACAAGAATTAATGTTTAGCTATGTTTGCAAATGCTCATGAATGTAACTCCCCAGTTTACCCTCAGAGGTCATTGCAGGATTTTTGTAGCAGCTAGTTGTCAGGTTTTTGTCATTTTGTTCTATATATTTCCCTGTATTTGTGTACTTTTCTACTCAATCAATATTTTTCGTCCTCCTTTTCTCCCTGTCATATGTGACATAAGATTGTAAATAACACCTTAACAGCAAGAAATAAGTCTTCAAGGGTGGGGCATCAAGGGAGGCTTTATAAAGAAAAACTAAATTTAAAAAAAGTCTTGGACTTTTATGTTATCAATTACGTTTTCTATCATGAAACTAACATTGTTTCTTTGTTTTACTTTGAAGGGTCTGGAGAAGATTTCTGCCTACATGAAATCAGGCCGTTACATCAAGGGCCCCGTCCACAACAGGATGGCCAAATGGGGAAACAAGAAGCTGTGAAGAAAAACTAATTCATCCACCGGAAAAACACTAAAGTGCTGTTCACAAGTGCCAAATAAATGTACAACTAAAGAAGACATTTCTGTGCTTCTTGTCTTTTTTCAAATAAACTTGACAGTCAAAAGTCATATATATCAACAGGCCAATTAAGCCCCATCTGTACTTTATTTTAGTATCTTAAAAGAAACAGAATGGTGCGCTGGCAACTGTAATTATGCCAAACCTCTTGTACCCATAAAACCTCCCTTGATGCCCAACCCTTGATGATTTATTTATTACTGCTAGGGTGTTATGTACATACAATGATAAACATAACATAGGAGACAGAGGAGGATGGGAAGCAAGGACAAAGAAAGAAAAAAAAGAAAACGGTCAGAAATACTGAGAAAATGTCAATCACAGAAATGACCAAACCTAACAACCAGCTGTAGCATCTGTAAGTATTAAACAGAAACACTCCCACGGCCTCTGTGGGAAAATCTGAAGGAACATCATCCCAAACACCTGCAAAGAGACACAAAAAAAACTCAGAAATAACACTCACAGCAAGAATATGGAACAAAATTGTGGATGCCAATAGACAAAAAAAATTCTAAATTCTCAAAAAGGAGAAAGAAGTCAAAGTTTGTGCTGATGTCAGGAAGACACGGACTTTATTTTCAAACTAAACAATTGTTACATTTGTCACAATTCATTAATTTCTTTTTTTTATCAAATAAAATCTTGAACCCATTTTCTTTTAGCTTCAAATTTTCAATTTAACATCACATTTTGTGCCGTGAGCCTGACCTGAGGATTATAGGTTACAGAAAATATAGAAGCAACATGTAATGCAGAAGTACGTGCTCAATATTTCGTTTCATTAATGCATTGCTAACAACACAGGAAAGTCATTCTGAATGGGTCACATGTTATAATACAGTCTGCATTTAATCAGAAAAAGAAACAATAGTATAATAGATTATCTTCAGAATAACTGATTACAGCTGTTGCTATACAACAATAGGATCATGCAGCTAAAGAGGCTTTTGGTGAAACAACACAGCAGGAGTGGATGAAGTTCCGTTGATGATGGGATTTATGGGATTGCCTCCAACACAAAAGATCCACCCTGACACCAAGAATTCCCGCGCTGCTCCTCGGCTCTCGGCTCAGTAGCGGCTGTTGTACATGCCGGACGGTTCACTGGCCAGCTGCACAGAGCAGGGTTAAACATTACTGATGTGCTGACTGTGTGGTGGCTGCATCATGTGACACATTACTTACCGCAATTGATGACTTGACAGCCTGAAGCTGGAAGAAGACCTTGCCTGCTTCCTCTGGACATACAGTCCGTATCTCCTCTTTTGACATTCCCAAAAGCAGTTCACCGCTCAGCACCCCGAGAGTAGAGACAGTGCTGTCAAAAAGAAGGAAAAGAAGCTCCAATTTAAGTCTGTGAAAACCAGGTCTGACATACAGTACGAACATCCTGAAGGGTTTTGAGTCTCGGAGGAGAACGGTACGCACATTTTGGAGAAGCCCCTCTGCTCAAGCCAGGCTCTCACCTCTGCAGGTGAGGAGCTCCTGCTCAGGGTTGATGAACCACCAAATCCTCTCTGTGAGAGAATGTCAGGAGAAACTGTTACATCTGCTATGTTTGTTCTTTATCAGAAAAGGTTGTGTCTTCACTCACTTGTGGGCCAACCATGGGTCCACCACTGCTCAGAGGCTCCAAAACATTCTGGGGAACGTTGCCCTCCTCATTTTGTGAGTTCCGAACAAGCCACCACTGTTTGGATTTCTGAATCACCTGCGAAAAAAACACACACGTAAACAAAGAAAGGCTTTCAGGTAACTGAGTGTTAATGTTACAGCTATGACATGTATGCAAAACTAAAGTTAATTCAACAGGCAAAAACTCTGGAAACAAATGTATTCCAAGTTTAAGAGGGTCATTAATCCTGGACTTTGGCTCTCTCTCTGCAGCAGCTGGAGTTTCTGTTGGGGGGATTTCAGGAGCCAGCCCAGTTGTGATTTTCCTCTATGGGGACTGAAGATCAACATTTTGGACTGTTATGATTGAATGATTCAGTTTTAGGAATTCCAAAAAGAAGGTGGCTCTGGATGAATCTTTGCTCCGTGTAACACAGAATGTGTCAGTGACAGAGGATGTCAATGTGTTACTTTTATATTTTTCATAATGTAAAACATTGTTTTGTTGGGCAGTCATTAATCTACCCACTGTTATCAATAATCTTCCCTCATCCACTCTAGATTTCTGTCATTTTTACGTACAATTACAAGACATTTTTTAAGCCTTTTGGACAGTACATGAACAAATGTCAAAGATCATGTGACGACGGACTTAAATAGGAAAAATGGGACTTGGGATCTTTTTGTTGGTACACCAGGTTCTGTTCTCTCACCTGAACCACCTCTCCCTGCATTATACTCAGCTCCCGGCTGTTTCTGGCCATGAAGTTGTATATGACGCGCATCTGCAGTGGCGGCTCTCCGGGGCTGAAACGGCAGTGCAAACACACGCCTCATGACTGCAGAGCAAGAAACTAGTGACACAAACAGTCAAAACTGCAGATATGTTTGGTTCTGATGGGATTGTGTAGCTGTGAAAGCTTACTGTGAATTTCTGGGGCCACCGGGCTGTAAAAAGCAGAAAGTTAATCACGATGATACTAAATATGGGCTGTATGATAACTTCATAGTCTATCTTTTTTTTCACGTTTGCATTACAAACAGCTAAAAGATAAATACACTACAAAGCTTACAACTTAAACTGATCAAAATCATTGCAGTGCTTTGGATGTAAATCATAGCTACACAGCACAGTTACATTCATTTTCTGAGGTCACGGCTAATAAGTGTCAGTAGGTTTATACGGCACTACCTCTTCTATCTCCTCAGGCTGCCAGTGCATCACTCTGGGTGAGTAGCCCTGGCCTTCATCTGTTTGTCCACCAAACCTCTGACTGTTGCTCCGGCTCAGTGGACCATTCTGAAAGGGGAGGGGGGCAGGCATTTTAGCTGGTGCAGGTGGCTCCCACCCATCGTAAAACTGCGGGATGTAGGGTGGGACATCTTCTGGCCAGTTAGACCTGAAAGACAGCAAGAGCGCAGTTAAAGCAAGTGTATCTTGCTTTAATCGTGTGAATTTTGTATTTCTTGTTTGTATAAAACCACAAAAAATACAAGTAAGGACAAAAATTAAAGAAACTTAAAGGAATTTGAGAATAAACATGGTCATTTGTTCATTATTATTCAGCCTATTTTAGGGTTGTAGGGTTTCCCGAGAATCTTGAGTATGTGATTAAGCATCTTTCCACTGTTCCTGGGTTGTCTTATCCTACAGTGCTTGCTGCATCGGTCACTGCACCACAAATGATACTACAGTGCCGTAACTGTTTCTACCACTTGTGTACACAAATACGACTATGATCAAAGAGCATTCAGCATTTCAGAATGGCACAACGAATAGTACCAAACTGACAGAAGTGTTTTTGTAATGTTATGTGAGTTTCTGTTTTCTTTCAAGCACACTGCCCCATGTTTGACTTATTTTTTCCATTTGTGGCAACAGGAAAACTACCTCTGACCTGTGTTTGCACATCAGCACAACGCCCTGGCTGCGGGTGTGTCAGCACAGATAGAGGTGTACTCAGCTGGTTGTATAAAAGAGGAATTTTACAAGCTTTGCAAGAGCACTCTAAAGATGTCATTTCTTACCTGGAAACGTTCCAAGAGTCACCTAGAGAGCTCCAGAGTGCGCTCTGCTCCGGGCTGAGAACCCGCCTGAGCAGGTGCACAGCTGTGTCTGTGAGCAGGGGGGCCACCACAGTGGGAGGCAGATCAGGCGGATACAGACGAACCATCTGTGGAAAAACGAGACACGTACAATCGCAATAAAGACAGAAATCTGTGAGCGAAGCAGAGCCGGCCAGAAGAAGAGTTCTGAATCCTAACTACATACCATTTGTAAATTGTTGAAGAAGATATTGACAAATTCAGGGGCATCCGGGTTGTTGATAATCCCGTCAAGTTGGCCCTGTAGAGTAATGAAGACTCTTACATTCCAGAAAAATGGCGCTCAGCCAAATTATTCTGAACATATTTGTCTTTTTTTTTTTAATCTACGGACACTGAACATATATTTACCAGAAGATTGAATCCATATTTGATTTTCTGAAGGCAGGAGACATATTCATCCCAAGATGGCAGAGGGATGCTTGGTGGAGCTGGAGGGAGACAACCAGAATAAAAAGAATCATCCAATATATCTGTGTCAGAGAGTCAGATTGAACTTTGTCTCATACACAACTGAGGTCACCTGGATATTACCTTTTTCTTTAGATTTTTTCTTCTTTGACCATTTCTTTTTGACCTGGTTGTCTTGTGGTGGAGGAGCAGTTGCTGCTGACAATTTCCCTATAAAGATCTCCAAATCACTGATAACATGGTTTAAAATTTCCTGTGAAAAGGAGTGAAAAGATTAAGTAAATCGCTGCAAAACCTAAAGCCAAAGCACGGTTGCTCCGTGAAGAGACAGATCATCTGAACAATTTCCATGATAACTGACTGTAAACTGATAGCTGTGAGACCGGGTATTACTGCACTGACCATGTTCCTGTCTGCATCCAGTCTCTCAGGAGCCATAACTGGGCTGCTCTGCATCTCTCGAAAATCATTATGAGGCATCCTCTCTTCTCGCGGAGAAGGCAAGTAATCTATGTGGAAATCAGTCAAAAATTAAACAGATGTTGACATGGTCCAAAAGAGGAGACAGATGCGCTCTATGAGGGGAATGCATCCAAAAGCTGTCTTTTCGGGCAATTGGAAAAAGAGCATTTAGAAGAGCTCATTTGATTTTAGTGACTGTACCGGGCTGGATGTTGTCCCAGTGTTGGGGAGCAGGATCCGGTGGCGGTGGACTCATCTCCTGCTGCACAGGCCGGGAAATCCCATGGGGAGGGTTTCCCAGAGCCTGGTGTCCGACCGCATGCTCAAGATTACTCCTGGAAACATGATAAGACAATAGCTGTTGTGTGATTTCTACCTTTCGTCCTTCATCTGCTTTCACACCAATGTGAATGAATCTGTTTGTACATTTATCAGAACACCATACCTGATGTCAAACGGCTCTCTGCCTAAATCCGGATTACCACCTCTCTGCATTGCCTTGTCCAGGTCACTCTTGATATTCTCTGCCTGGTGAAAACAGACCGTTTCATTCTCCCCTCTACATTAACTTCTGTAGTACAGATACTAGTTACAAATATCCCCCTTTACCTGGTACCTTAAAGAAATCAGAGTAAAGTTTACTGGTGGTCCTTGCAAAGTGTGACTCACCCCGGTTTCCTCACACTGGAACATGAAGACCTGTGGGACGCGCTTGCTGCGCTCCTGAACAGTTAGGGTCAGCAGAGAGTTGTAGGCGCAGCTGTCCAGCACAGCTTTGGTCTCAATGATGTCTCTCAGGGGCAACAAATCCAGCTCCACCTGAGATATAATCGTGGGCAGTCAGAAATGAACAAAGAACATCAATACCTGGAGAGTTTATTCCTCTTTAAATGGCTTAACTGGGGCATTTACATTGAAATTGCATTCATTTGTTCTCATTTTGAGATCTGAATACATTCTGTTGCTCATTGTATTACTGTATTACTCTTCGCTACCCTTTTAGGGTCTTTTTATCTTTTTTGTGTGTTCTGCTTGTCAAAGTTAAATGTTAACCATTTAATTAATCAAAATAACCTTTGGATTCAGACCACCTGACACTCTGGATTGATTTGAATAACTCTGTGACTTATTACCTATTACTCTTTTCCTGGGAGTCCAATAATGAACACTAAGTGTCTGTTTATCATAAATTGGTTCTGTTGACTACAGACGGATGATCGCTTTAGTTTTGGCAGCGTTTGTGTCATGAGCAGCCACAGCTCAGCAGTACTCTCCTCTCCCTCTGGTTTGTCATCATTCAAAAAACACATAATCATGATGTTTTGACATTTTCATCATGATTTGTGCATCCTTCCATGTCGCTCCAGTTCATGTGTAAATGTCCTTGCAGCTTAACGGAAGCTAATCGCAGCACTAAGTTTCTCCTTTTCACCAAAAGCTACAATAGGGCTGTTTAACAATAACATTGGGGTGTACTGTTCAGGTCCAAAGACTGACCATTTCCCCACAAAACTTTACCAAATGCATTGAACTTCTAAAAACAAAGTAAATCATTCTTCCAGAAACCTTGGTTTCGATGTCGCTGAGGTGAAGGTACGGTCCCTGAATCCCCATGATCATCTCTTGAGGCCACAGTCGACCTTTCTCGTCCAGCCTCTTGAGCTTGGCCACACAGTCCTCCACATTCCTCACCTCCCTTCCATCCAGCTCACTGGTGAACAGATGCTGTGCAGAGAAGAGGAGGACTTGTGAATTCTAAATGTTAAACGGTTTATACTGAACAACGTCTCCACGCAGGTGAAGATTTCATACCTCGACTCTGACTTGAAAATTGTCTGGATGTCTGTTCAGCGTCTCGGAGTATTCTTTTCTCTGCACTGATGGAGAGGACATGCCTGAGCATATTTGTTTGCCCGAAATTGAAAGGGAAATAAAGAAGAGGTGGTTCTATGTGCGCACATACTGTAAATGGATCTTCCACTGGGTCTGGTCATGCTGTTCCGCTGGAATGGCGTCTCTTTAGGCTCATGGTGTTGGAAAGCCTGCCTCTGTTGATTCAGGTCTTCCTGGGAAAAACCCCTGAGGAAAAACGAAAGCTAACATAAACAGGGGGAACGACGTGCATAAATCGATTGTGCAACTTGAGCACTTTGCGTGTTCATAAAATCATCCAAGTCACCAGCAGAGCAACCCGCAGATAAGCTATCCACAACTCAAAATAGCCACATGGTTGCCACGGCAGAGCCATGAGTTATCATGTGAGGGTGTGAACAGGTGTGCAGTGCTGATGAACACTTAAAATGCACTAATGACTTCAACAGAATTAGTGGTAGAACACACATCTGAGATCTACTCACTTTGGAAAGTAGGAGAATGGGCCGTTGTTTCCCAACATTATGAGTCCCCTGTTTTGAAAATTCACACCAGTAGAAATCCCTCAGAAGGTGCTCAAAGCTGGAAGAAAAAGTGTAATTCGTAACACTATAACTTGCTAGGACAGATCTTGGACTGACAGGCTCCCGCACACACTTAGATTTTAAAGTAAGACATCCACACTCAAACACAGAGCATGCGCTCCTATTTTCACAGACATAGTTTTTTGTCCTTTGTCTTTACAGTTGGTAGATTTTTTCAAGCTTTTTGTAGCTTCGTAAATAGTCTATTTCACGTCTCACTATAGTTTTGTAAGTGTGTATTAACCTCAAAGGAAAAAATGAACTCCCTTCAAAATTAACCTCTGTAGCACTTCCAGTTCGGGTCCATGTCTTTGAGCCACAAAGGAGTTTCTTCTTTTTCCTTTTGGATATCAAAAGTGTAAGATACTATATTTCAACTGTCTTGGTAACACTAATATCATAAGTTTTCTTTCTTTGATGAGATTTCTTTTCAGCTTCACAGTATTTCCTATATAGTGAACGTTCCTTCTCCTTAAAGAAAAAGTTGATATGATACTGATAATACATCCAGGGCTGACTGGTTTTTACAGGGCAGCGTCGTTAATCAGTTACAAAAGCTGTCAGAACGATCAGAATTTTAATTAACAAAATAGCTGATTAAGCAAACTATCACGAGGACTCACCTCCTGAAAGACAGCACAGGCCAACATTTATGCTGGATAAATATGGATAGTTTGTTTTGGGCTTTTAGGTCCTTCTGAGCAATTGGGAGCTAAAGGCATAAGAATTTTCAGCTGAACAGATTCAGGTAAATCTCTTTGAACAGTCTTCTACCTCCTGGACTCAACGTAACTGTATGTCTTTTCCTGGCAACAACCCACTTTCTGCTAAGCAAACATTTTCCATCTCAAAACAGGATGCACTGGGCCACAAATAGAAAGTCATTAAATTTCCTTTGAATACTATTGCCAAGCGAAATATTTACCCGGTTATTACCTTTCAGTGTCAGCTATGCTCCAGTCATCGTTCCCTTCCTTCAAAATGACTTTCCCCCCTATCGTGCCACACCTGCACTTTGCTAAGCTTACAGAGAAAAATTTCCTTCCCTTCCGAGCGAAACTACACAGATCAAAGTTCAACTTTGACGGCAGTGACGAATCAAGAGGGGGTGGCTTCATTTGTCATTTAAGTTATGGTGGAAGGCAGCTCAACCACAGCTCATAAGTCCAAAGGGTAGGTACTGCCACCACAAGTCTCCTTCAGGGGGATCAAAGGTCTAAAAGGCTTATTCTTAACTCATCAAAGTTTAAGACAACAGTGTTACAAGAATATTCTATGAAGCTCAAACTAAAAAAGCTTTATGGAAACACTTAATGACAATGCTGAACGGAATTTTAAAAAAAACACCACAACCAGTCTAAGATTAACAAGAATTTATTTTTACCATCTGCTGACTGTACACACCCATAACATTGACGGAGACAATTCTTGAAGAGAAATAGTTTATTCTGTAAAGAAAAGTGGTGCCTCGTCTTGGGACAATGAGTTAGGAACACGAGAAGTCTTCTCTCAAACCACCTCCATTTAGGCCGTAGCTTTGGCCTGAGTGACTTTGGCCAGTGCCTTCAGGTCTGTGATGCACTTGGCAATGCTCTCCTTCTCCTGAAAAACACCAACAACAGCCCAAAGCCAGACGGAGATGTGTTAGAGACCGAAGACTGGGTTTAATGCCAGGAAGACAGGCCTGTTAAATCACAAGAATAAATACGATATTTTCTTTTGGAAAAATAAATGGTTATTGTGGCCCTACAGTGCCAATACTTATGTTCCAAGATCCTTTCATTTAGCTGTGGGCAGGAGTGCCCAGTGTATGCAGGAGAGCATAAACCTGGGACTCACCTTTTCCAATCGATATATACAAAACCACTCAACCATCAGGGGAACACATAAAATGGAGATAAGAAAGTCATTTGTGGCTTGACTAAAAACATAATACTCCAGTCTGGTGCATCATCGCTTATGCCGTATTACCGCTCCACCTCAGATGTGTAGTCACTCCTTTGGTCAGAGTGAGATGCCATGAAAACTTGACACAAATAAACAGCCCAACATTTTCAGAGAAAAAATATGTTTCCCCCTACAGGGTATTTCAAAAGGTGGATATCTGAGTATGATGCTGGGTACACAACTGTTCCATGAGACCCTTTTTCCCTATTTAGAAGGTTCAATCTCATTTTAACTTAAATTAATCAAACTCTAAAAGGGAAAAAAAAAAAAAAGTACCACATGGTCCTCACTGGCTGTATTTCAGTCACACTAATTGTGTATCAAGGCAAAAATAGATGTGTTTTACACCAGTGACACGGACCTGCTGAGGGGTGATGCTGCCGACGACGCTCTTCTCCACCCAGTTGACCATGTGCTCCTGCTCCATCCGACGATGGAGGTCCTGCAGGGCGATCTGATAGTCCAAGCGCCTCTTCACCTCATTGGTCACCATATGTAGCCTCTCCCTGTAGTTGGTCTCCAACAGCATGGACACATTGTTCTACAGATTACATAAAACGTGTAGATCAGACATGTGGGGTCAGCAGAGGCTGAAGTATTTAAAGAGCAGACACAGGCAAGTGACCGGTCTGGGGATTCATTCTGCAGCCTGACAGGGGCACCAAACAGTCAGCAACAGACAAAAACACCCCCTCCGCTAAAAAGGTTTGACTTCAACAGAGTGCCTGTCCCAGCCTCATAAAGACTGTCTGGGATCGCATCAAAAAAGGAAACTGCCAGTCTAACTGTATGCAGAGTGCAGTATGGAGACACACGTCTATTTGCCCAGTAATGTGTGCTTTCTGTGTCCTTCAAGACACAGAAATGTTTTTTTACTTACCGTTTTACACATATTAAAAATCCCTGTTGAATCTGATGATTTTTAAAAAAATATTGAAGTTTATTTCCCTAACAAATTTCTATTTGCATTCAGAGCACCGTCATCTGTCCTCTCTCAGTTAGCATGTTGTTGCAGTGTCGCCTCGTTCCCAGCAGAGGGTAACAAACAGCCTGTTCACTTCAAAGCTGACCTACAATGTAAATGCTATTATCTTAGAGGATTTAAATGTCTTCTGTCAGTGGTGCCTACCCTCTTAGCATCAAAGAGCATTGATCTTCCCTCCACTCTCCACTGTTCCTTCTTCTCATCCTCAATGGCCCGAGCCAGGCTGGCCATGGCGAGGTCTTTAACCTCCTGGGCCCTAGCCACTTTCTCCTGAAGGCGAGAAAGAAATCTAGAGTTAGAGTAAACTGTAATATATAAAAGCAGAGAACAATAACAAAAGCATTCACACAGATCTGTGAAATCTAATTAAATTATTCTTTACTTCTGGAAATAAGTAAATGTCACAGTAGGCATCGTACCTCATTCAACTTGTCAGCGAAAGCTCCAACGCTCGGACCGAACTTCTTGATACCATAGATAATGATGCCTCCTATGGAAGCAGCAGCGAGGGTCTCGTGGTTGATGACGTAGATTTCCTTGGAAAGCATGTAAAGGAGGAGTCCAGTACCCAGCATGTAAGGTCCTGTAAGGAACATGACAAGTGTTTCACTGAGGCAATAACGAGTTAGTCATCTACGAATCTGCAGTTTACTGAGGATGCGTAGCAGATAAACAACCTGTGTTTGGTAGAAGGCTACTTGCCTGTGACACCAGTTTTGGGGTACAACAGCTGGAAGAGTTCCTCGGGAAAGATGCCATGGCGGACCTTCCCTCCCTTCTCTGGCAGAGGGGGAACTGGGGCCAGACTCTGGGACGATGTGTGCAGGGAGCGGGATGCATGGACCAGCCTGAGGAAGAAGATATTGTTAGCTGCTTCTTGGAGGTCATGTGTTGCAAGGGTTCCTTGCAGAATAATGTCATGATTATCTTGACTTAAAAGACATAGAATGTGAGTTGGTGGGCTCCTGCTCGCTCTTTTCCTTCTCAACATCGATCAAGCCGAAACAACAAAACAAATTAACAGTCACTTACCCTGCTCCAAGGGGGCCACAGCCTTTCAGGGAGCTGGCTGCAATCAGAAAAGAGAAATGCTTAAGCACAAAATGATCATTTATTTTTCATAACATTCGAAAGTTATTTATTACCTATTATTTTACTATATTGAAAAAGAAAGCTTGAATACTGTGAAGAGCCAAGACCTTCAACATTCACTAAGTCAAGCCTCATTCTGGTATTGTGGCATTACATTACCTAGGTTTTTGCAAAGTCTAATTTGAATGTACTGAGAAGGATAGGGCCTTAATACATTATCACAAAAGTTATGACTGATTTGTAGTCTGAAAGTATAACACACCTTAATATAACATTACGTTTTATTGGGCTTACATCAAAAAATTGAAGAGGAAAAACGAGCAAAACATATGAAGAGACTTCTGTAAGATGTATCCGATAGATACAAGAATTTGCTCTGTGAACTAACTGTCAAAAAGGTGACATTTGCAGGCGTGCAGAGCTAAGCTACGTTAGCGAACATAGCTTTAGGTGGCCAAGCTAAAGCCAATGTCAACATTTTAATGTAAAAGGTAAATAAGAACACTGTGCTTAATATCTAGCACCAACTGATACAAAATTATAAGCAAAATATTAGCTTTAATGTCCGAGAAGAGACGTTGCTTGTAGTTTTGTTAGCTACAGCTAGCTAACATAGCATAACTCATTCAGTGTGCGGCCTTCCGTTTACCCTTCAGCTTGAGTCAATTAAGCCTTTACTTATCCAGCTTGACAGAGTTCTTATACTGAAGATAACTTCGTATACTTTCATTCCATATGCCCATTGAATACCTACCTGAGATAATAACTAGCCTGGACAGCATTGTTGAAGGATGAAGTGCCAAGTTCTTGTTACACCGGGCACCGTTGTATCGGCCTCTCTGTGCCCTTCTGCAAAGAGCTACAAGGATGGCGGACACACGGGAAATCCACCGGAAACAACGCGAGATTACACAGGCGCTCTTTTTTACTTGTATGGTGTGATAGCAGAAGACCGCTGGATGGCACTGTGTCCTCATAAAACCTTTAGTCCTTATTCAGAAGATTACCTTAAAACCAGGTTTATATATTCAATACACATAAAAACAAGCTTCGAATTATTCAGATGGTGAGGAAATGAGACAACAACAAACTTTGAGGGCATAATTATCAAGCAAAAAAGGCCTAATAATGCTGAAAATACGAGAATAAGGAATATAAGAAAATTATCTATTAAACCAAAGCACAAAAGCAAAGATGACACATGACGAAGGGTTGCAAAAAGAAAACAGTGATATGGGCTCCATACAATCTTATTCAATAACCCTTTGCACAGAAAACTTTTTAATAATAATGTTGAGATAATATATTACATATAAAAGGAGAGTGATGTCATCCTAATGTACCGGTACACACAAATATATATGCGTAGACTTTACACATATATTCATTGTAAGGATGTGTGTGACCAGATCTTAACTAAAGCAATGCCATATAAAGCATTCCCTTGTATCAACAGTATGAAGGGAACAATATTATGATTTTGTCTTTTTCAAGTCTTTTACTTTGCTGAAAATCAACATGGCCATATTTCTACTATTGTTTAGTTTAACTTTTCACTTCTGATTAAGTAATGATCGAATGTGATTAACATGTGCTTGAATATGCTTCATTAAAATTATTTAAATGCAGTCTGACTGTCAGTGGGCTCAAGGTTATCAACACTGTTAAAAACACTTGATGACGCCAAAGTTATGACATACAGAGTGTTTTATCCCAGGGTGCACAAGGAGGGGGGGTTCCGTCTATAATCTCTTGGCCCACCCGTGTGTGGCATCAGTGTGGTGCGAGTGGCTGCTGAGATAGAGGAACATGTGACGCTTTGCTTCTCTCCACTTCCTGTAAAATTATGTTAAACAGAAACAGCTACATGTGAAACAGCGACCAAACCCCATATACTCTGAGTCGAGTGAGAAAATGGATGACTTCTTGGTCACCTCACAAGGAGTTTCCCCGACTGAATGAGATGGCTCCAAAGGTAAGTCTCTACTCATGAGGCGGCTTTTTCCACAAGATTATGTTGCACTTGCACAACCTTAATAAACAGCTGCCGTGGCCTTTAGCCTGTTACTTTGAAAACAGTGATATATGGGTTAGATGAACTCTCTGATAAAATATGAAAGCAACTTTATTTTTACTGTTTTTCTTTTTCCTACATGTCTCTCAGAGTAAAAATGTTTTTGAGGCAGCCTGGGTACCCCAAATTTTACAGATACACTTTACATTTAACTCTATTTCATGCAGACAGCTCACATTAGCTGAGAGCGCACCTGCAGATGCAGATCAGTAACTTTCCCCTGTGTAAGCATCTAAGGGGCTTCTGAGATAATGGTGTTATTGGTGTTTATACAAGCAAACAATTCAGAAACTGTCCCTTTTTTCTTAGCAACTGCATCTTATATTTTGCCCGATGTTTACAGTTTTTGGAAAATAAATTTGAATATTTGTTTCATGATGCACTGTTGTTGCAGTGTATGGGAAATGTAACATCCTGAGGAGGTGCCATGGACACCCTGACTTTCAGTGGAATACGATACTTCCCAGAGAGAGAATTTGACCGAAAAGTGACAATAAGAGCAGAGAGACATGAGCACCTACGAGGACGTAACAACGTGACCTCGTGCCGGAGCCCTACGAGAGATTTAGACACAAGATCGATCAAGGATGAACTTAAAAGAAAGAGGCATCAAGAGTTTCTAAGGAGGAGATCGGTGAGCCCAGAGCCATCCAGTTCCAAGAGAAAAGAACGTTTGTCTGGGAGAGGATCTTCTTCACTGACGTTTTCAATTAAGCATCCCTATTCAAGCAGCAAGTCTGAGGCATTGCATATGAGAACACAACATTCTCTGTCTGTGAACGGACGTCCAGCGATGATCCTAACACGGGAGAGCAACACATCTGATTATCCAACTACCAGCAATTGGGTAAATAGTGCCGTGATATTCTCTGGGGTCTTTAAGCTTGTTAGGGGGTCATTAACACCTTCACCCCCTTTCCTCCCCTCTGCTTTCATCAGGCTGCATTATGGTCAGACCCAACAACAAAGCAAGTGACAATTCAAGAAAAGAAGCACTCCTCTACCTCCAGACCGGTTACAATAGAATCAAGCCAGCACTGGATTGAAAGCATGCATAAAAGAGAGAGTATTATTAAAAGTGAGATTCGAACAAGACTTTTTGAATCAATGCTATCAAAGTAATAATAACCTGTATAACTTTTTTTTGTAATGATATCTATCTTTCCCATAGTTCAAAAGACCAGCATCAGAAAAATCTCCGAGACAGAAGGAAATCACCAAAGATTGTCTGTAAAGACTCAAAATATTTGTCCACAGACGACTTTTCGGGAAATGAGCGTGCAGACAGAGTGAGTGTGATTGATCAAATCTCAGGCAGCTATGATTAGTGGTGTTTTATCATCTAATGAGATATTTCCTTTTTTGCAGGTCCGGTCTTGTCATGGTAAAAGAAGCAGTAAGTTTGAATCTGTTTGCATGATTTTAGATTCCTGGGCTCAGTAGCAGACTCGGGGCAAAGGCGAAACATGCCTGCAGAGGTCAGGGTTGATTGAATTGGGGTAAAATAAGGTCTATCCTAAAAATGTTCTCTGAGCCTTGTGATCTAATGCCATTCTCCATTCCATTACACAGTTTGAATTGAAACTCTAACTATTCCTCATTTTTCTTCTTTACTCTAGGATATTCAGAAATTATCGGACTATTTGCAGGTCAGTGAAACAACCACATCGTGAATGTTTTTGATTATGAAACTGCCAATTAATGTAGATTTAAAAGATTAATTATGGAAAATGAGTTCAGACGCACTGCTGTTGTGTTTCAGTGCTGTTCAGTGACTTTTGTTTTTAGGAGGCCTTGTGGAGAGAGGAAGCAGTGAAGAAGAAGCTGGTTTCCCTCCAGCAGTGTTCAACAGACCTAAAAGACTCCTCCAACACACTGTGGACAGTAAGACGCCACATCTGTATGCACAGCACACAACACGTCCATAGTGCTTGAAAACTGCAGTCACCCTTCAAACTCCAAACTCACATTTATTATTTCAATCAGGCTGTTTTTGTGTCATGTTTTTTCCCCATTCCTTGATCAACGGTAAATTCATGTCACAGTTGTGTACCCAACAGCTGATGTGTAAGGGAGGCCTGTGCAGCTTGTGGTTTGAAGCTTCCTGCTTCCGCTCTTGTCTACAGGATGAACACAAGCTGTCATTCTTACACAGGAAGGGTGTACCAGTCTGACAGTAGCTATTATAGGTGCTATGCACCCTCATCAGCTCTCTTCTTGTTAGTCTTGCTGTAATGAATTAGAAAGGAAACATCTGAGTAGATCTTTTTTTTGTTGTTCTAGCTTTTTCCCCTAGATTTTAGCTTTAAAAGTTATAGACTAGTTTTGATTGATTAATTACATTTTTATATTTGTTAATAGTTTTTCTCTGAGGTACGTTGTCATCAGCTTGAATATTATTTGTAGTGTTGTCTTTCAACGCATTGCAACACTGTGATCTTTCTTTAGGGTCAGATCAGATCTTATTTGCACCTGTGGGTGCACTTTGTGAAACAACATGCTGTCACAGATTTTGATGAATAGGACATTAACTTCCCATCTGCAGGATGCAGTGTGTCACTCATTTCCGCTCTAACCCACAGTCTCGCTGCAGCGAAGATCTGCTGAGAAACAAAATCAAGACTCTGGAGGCACAGCTACAAGTCTGTCTGCAGGTAAGCTGCAGTCAGTTCCTAAGAAACAAAGACAGATGCATTCTTGATCTCAATTATCTGTGTTTTTGTTGGCGTCTCACACCATAATCAATCTGCTGTGTTATGTCCAAACAGAAGTTTCCAAGGGATGGAGTGAAGAAGGTGGTGCAACAGATGGAGAAGCACAGAGTGATGTATGAGGAAACAGCCTTGCTTGCCCTGCAGCAGGCCACACTGGAGAAGGCTGAGGCCCTCAGCCAGGCTGAGACACTGCAGGTGAAGGAGCAGCTGTGGTGCCCTAATGAGACTGCAGACATTTCTCCCAATCAGTTGTCATTTCAGCCCCTTTACTTTGGTTCTCGTGAGTTGGGGTCTGATTGTGCCAACCCTGCAGCTGATTTAAAGAAATGATTTGTATCTGTTCATTGATTCTTACTTTATTTTGCCCGTAGGAAGCACTAATTACAGCTAAGGCAGAGGCACTGAGGTGGCAGAGCCTGTATGAGGAGTTGAGAATGCGCTCAGGACAACTTCGGGAGAGCCAGCACCTCAGTGACGAACAGCTGCAACAGCTGCACAGTCAAGTCGAGGTTTGTATGGTGGAAAAGCCCTTGGTCATTCATTTAAAACAGTAACTGATAATAAAAGCCTGTGTCCTGTGCAGATGTCCAGGTCCATAGAGGTCAAACTGAGGGAGGAGGTGGCATCATTAAGACAAGAAAAGCAGGACCTTCAGTACAACATGTGTGTGATGGAAGAGGACAACCAGACTTTGAGAGAGGAAATTCAGCTCCTTCGAGGCAAGTCATTAAAGTCATGTTTTCTCAGGAGAAGCTTTGACTGGGAATGCTTACAAGATTTTAAAGCCCTTACAGTGCTGTGAATTTAGCATGGTGGACCAGCTTAAAATCCTCTCTCTGACATAGAGGGTGGCGATGGGAGCCAGGATCTCCTGCAGGAATTTCTCAGGTCTGAGGAAGCAGAGCCACAAGCGACAGCGAGCAGAGACGGTCGGCTAGGAGAGCAGCTCCGGCACACTCAGGAAAAACTCCAGCTCAAAGAGAAAGAGGTGAGGGCGGAGGCATCACAGTAAATGGAAACATGCTCTAAAGCTTATCTTTTTCTGGGAGACTTCATTGGTCACACAAATCATATTACTACTACTTCCACTGCAAAGTAAGGGGAATGCACTTTTCAAGCTTTGTATTAGCTTTTAAATATCCTGTATGGTATTTAGTAGGATTATGCAGAGATACATGAACACTACAATAAAATTTACTTAAAAATTGCAAAAGAAACATTCACATCATAAAAAGACAAAAGTGTAGTTGAAGAAAAAAATCCCAAAACATTTCAAACTAGTTTCCACTTTGAGAAAATAACATCACTCGTGTTTTGGTCTTTCAATTTTTATTTATCAATAATTAAAACATTTGGAAATACATCACAAACACATTCCAAGGCTGTTTAAAAGTGGTTGTTCATGAGAGAAAGTTTGGTTGACAAGAGCACATGCAGTACCACTGGCCTTAAGTACATTTTTGGAGGTTAATTTCCACAGATCACCTGCACTAGAAATGTGCCTGGGGTGGGCTGAAGCTAAATATAGTCTGAACGTTCTTGCTCCAGTGTGAAGAGCTGCAGACGGAGCTGCACACTATGGAGCAGGAGTGCCAGTCCAGCCAGGCCCGGCTGGCGCAGTGCAGAGACGAACTCCGGCAGCTCAGCCACCGCCGCAGGAGGCCTGTGAGTTGGGTTTCTGTGAGGATTATCACAAAATATTCACAGACCCCCCCTTTTTCACATCATCTGAACCACTTGTGACCTGTGTCCACATTTTGTTTCAAGATGGCTACTCTCAGCAGCAGAGTGGAAATGATAAAGATTTTAGCCATGTTTATCCTATTTGTTCTCAGTGTGACACGGACACCTCTCTCCTTTCTTTGCTCAGACATCGTGTGGCTCCTGGTGGAAGGTGTGTGTGTTCCTCCTCCTAATCCTCGCTGTGGCAGGGGTCGCCATGTTGTGGTTGTGGCATCCTCCTTTTAGGGAGCAAATTGAAGACCTGTACTCAGATGTAGAGACCAGAATTGAAGCCTATCTCATGGAAATGGCTTCTCCTCAAAACTCCGGCTGTTTTAGACCAATATGACAATAATGTAATTGCTTAGGAATATTGTTGTTGTTTTGTTCCTACAATTGTAGCCTTTGTTTTGAAATGTGATTTTTATGGTATGCTTGTTATAAATATTTTTGCAGTTCATAGGTTTTTAGATTTGGAACTCAAAGTTTGTGTGATGTGCTGGGTTGAAGAAGTTCTGTGCTTTTGTGCAGAAATTTCAGAAGAACGCAGTGGGTCAAGTGCAGTGAGGTTTGATTGAAATGTTTGCAAGCTGTTTCCACCTCGCAAGTTATATGTTGCGAGTTTAACCATTAGAAGAATAGTTAAGTGGCAAATATCTTTTGTACTGTAAACAAATATTCCATTCAAAGGCACTTACATAAATTGGTAAATAATGCAGAAAGTCCTACATGTCCAAAAACAAAAGACTTGAAAGGGCCTGTCCCATTAAAATGGGTATTCTGTTATTATATTCAATGTAAAAAATTCTGAAAAAAACATTTGGAGTTACTGAGATGAAGGGGCAACATTGAAGAACTTTTTAAGCTGTTGTAATGATGGACTGAAACAGTCTCTGTTGGATGTTTAGGGCACTACTTTTGTCGTAAATTTCTCAAAGGCGTCTCAAAACAGGAGAGGCATAGTTGTATAACGACATGAATAAAAAATATACTGTCAGCCAATTTACATGTTTATTCTTTTATCAGCTTGGTTATTTCTGTTTTTCCGGAAAGGCATTTTTTGCTTTGGCTGGGTAGTAAACAATAAGCAGAATATGAAAATAGTCCAATGAAGCACAGATAATGTCTACCTCCTTTTTTAGCTTGAATTACATTAAATAATTTCTATGATGGAGAGAACAAAAATTACATGTAAAAACTGCTGCATTCTTCAGCGTGAAATCCTCCCATTAGGAGACAAAACTATCCTTAATCATCATCTATCAGCTAAATCTCAATGACGAGATAGAAAAACAGTGTGGCAACTACCAGAGGCTCATGAAACCCCAAAGATGGGTTCTTTCTTTCTCACAAATGTTCATGAAGTTGACAGACATGGTGCACAGCAGCATCTATTGTCTGATCATATTCAAACTTTGAGACAAAACCCACTCAAAGCTGCTCTCTCTGAGTTGGATAGATGGAGCCATTGTTCAATGTATTCAGTGGTTTTAACTGTTCCAGATAAAGCGCCATTCTCAACAAGCACTGACACAGCACAACCACCGCATACATCCGCAGGTCATGTCTTTCACAACCGCTTTTACCTGTATGTTCCCCAAATGCATCGGCGCTCTTTGAAGAGATGAGTCTTTGCGGGCCTGAGGTCAGTCTCCTACTGGTCATCTCACAGAAGTTTAGAGGTGTAAGTATCTGCTGAAGGCTGAAGGCTTCTGCAACACATTTTGCAACTTTACTAAGAGGATATTGGCAAACTGTCTTTGACTTACAGACCAACGTTTTGTCAACATCATGCGGATTTCGAAGCTGCTGCTTGTGGTGGGAATGTGTGTGTTAAGCGTCACATCTTCCCTGAAAATCTGCGCTTTCAATGTTCAGAGTTTTGGTGAATCAAAGGCAAACAACAGGAGAGTGATGGAGATTATACTGAAGGTACTTGCTTTGCGTTCACAACAAAAAGGAAGACACGAGGCTGACAAAACTACACAGCTGATCTAATCTACTTTCCTTTTTTTTTTTGCTGAAAAGATTCTGTCTCGATGTGACTTGTGCCTCATTCAGGAGGTTCGAGACTCCAAAGGAGAAGTCATTCAATCCTTGGTGAAGGATCTTAACAGGTAAAAAAAAAGATACATGCCAAAGACATATGCCATATTTGAAATATATCCTGCTAATAATTATCAAACTTAACTTTATTCATCATGTTGTCATCAGATTTGACAAATCCAACACCTATTCTTATGTGGAAAGTGAACGGCTGGGAAGAAAGAGCTACAAGGAGCAGTATGTCTATATTTACAGGTAACCTATGATGACTTTCAAACAGGTATTTGCTTTAAATGAGCATCTCACTGGACTCTCTGATCCCTTTCAGGAATAGTTTGCTAAAAGTCAAGGAGAGTTATCAGTATCCCAAACTGGAAGGAGAAGGGCCCAATGCAACTGAAGTCTTCTCCAGAGAGCCGTTTATTGTCCGCTTTCACTCTCCGACTACAAGTAAGACTGAGTAGAAACATGTTTGTGGATGTGGTGTCAGTCCTTTAGCAGTCTATCAGGCTTGTGACCTTAACCAAGAAATATCATCTGAGGGATGGTCAGAGGGACACAAATCAGTGTCCCTGGACATCCAGAAACCAGAAACAAAAGTGTTTTTCGCCATATCAGACTCAATATTACTTTTATCAATCATGTATTTGTTTCCAGTGGTGAAGGATTTTGTTCTGATTGGGCATCACGCTTGTCCCAAAACTGCCATGAGGGAGATCGATGAACTGTACACCGTCGTTAAAAGCATTAACAAGAAGTGGAAGACCGATGTAGGTTCTACACCCTCAACATCACCATCCTCATTACGTTTGTGTTAAACAGTTCCATGTGGTCCAGGATTCTTCTGCTTTATCCATGCTTTCTCCCATCCATGTAAATTATAAATAAATTCATGCACCTCCTTTTTTTTTATTCACTCTAGAATGTGATGATCTTAGGGGACCTCAATGCCGGCTGCAGCTACGTCACCATTAAGGGCTGGAGAACTGTCCGCTTAAGGAGTGACCCCAAATTTCTCTGGTTGATTGGAGACGAGCAGGACACCACTGTGAGGGAAAAGACCCGCTGTGCCTACGACAGGTCAGAGGCTGAAAACCAAACTATACAGCTTACAAAGAGGGGTTCAGTGTGCCCACACTTTAGATGCCACACTTTACTATACATGTTTGCTTCTTTGGAGGAAACATTAATGCCATGAGAGGTGATTTCTATTTGATTTCACACTTTCAAACAGGATCATTGTGCACGGACGGGGGATTGTTTCCAGCATTGTGCCAGATTCAGCTCAGCCATTCAACTTTAAGGAGAATTACCAGCTTACAGAGGCAGAGGTAAACCTAAAAAAAATGAAAATCCGACTTTAATTGAGTTTTACATGTAACAGAAATAATTCTGTGTTTTTTTTAACTGCAGGCTCTTGAGGTTAGTGACCACTTTCCAGTCGAAGTTGAACTAAAACCCAACCACCGCTACCTGCTTCGCCATGAGCTGTAGAACTCACTGACTGCCATAATCACAGCCAGCAGCCCTGCACTTTTTTTTCTTGAATTCAACCTGCTGTTTTACTTGAATTTTAAATAAACTGAGCAACTGAGTACTCTTTGATTTCGTAGGCCATTTCTTTCTAAATACTAGGACAAGTGGCCCAGAGTGGCCCTGCACTCAGCTCGCTTTTTATCAGAAACCTTGTTTCAGTATGAGAGAGCTTTGTGTTCCACTGCTGGATCCTGTGCTGCGCATCTGAAACCAAAAACCACATCAAAGCTGACATCATTTCATGAGCTTATGAAGGTGCACCCCTGAAGAAGCAGACATTACAAAACAGACGTTTTGTAATTTAGCTTTGTGGAGAAAACAGAAGAATTGTCTTGCAGCTTTATCATTTATGGTAGGTTCGAATCACTCACACACACCGTTCGTGGTTTATTGACATACGTCGGCTGCAATTCGTAATTTATATACAATCTGCTTAACAGGAAACCACTTGCAGCAAAACCAGACGAGACTAACTTCGAGCTCTCTTCCTTTTTGAGCGGAGGAGAGCTTTGCAATGAGTTCAGAATTGTCTTCACATAACCCCTAATTTGACTTTTGATTTGTCTGTTTGTAAAGATGGAAGGATTCGCTGATCTCCTCACTGATGCTTTTTCAGGTAAGAAACATTGTTTTGAGTAATTTTGTTTACCATTTTTCAAATCCATTTGAAAATGAGTCATTAGTCATAATTAGTCATTTTGGATGAATCTGTTATTACAGAGACTTCCGTCCTATCGTTCCCCGACGGAGATTTGGACTTTGAGAATTTAGGTTTTGATGAGCAAAGTGAGGAAGAAAAGACAGACGATAAAAAAACAACGACGGACGGGGCTTTCTTTCAGGAAGCAACTGCCGAGACGACGGCTCTGTTAGGCAGCGCGGCTCAAGATATGCTGTATGAGGCTGAGAATGCTGAGGACCAGAGCTCTGATGAGAGCCATGATGGGGACTTTAAAGGGGCTAGCCTAATGAGCAAAACACACGAGGACAATTACACAAGTTCAGAAGGGGAATCTGAAAAGGGAGACTCTGTCCCTGATGAAAATGAGGAGGAGGATGTGGGGTCAGAAGAGGAAGCAAGGGATTTGTTGGTGTCGGTCTGCTGCCACGAAGAGTTCCCTGATAGCATTAAAGAGGACGAGATCATTGCTGAGGGGCTACCTATGGCCCCAGAGGGTGCTGATAACCCTCAAGATAGAAACAAGGTGCGAGGTGAGGCTGAGAGTGATGAGGATGTGGCCTACTTCGGAGGAATCCCTGAACATGGCAATGAGCTGATGGTGAAAGGTGCCGTGAATGAAGATGAGAGGCAAGAGATAGAAGAAGGCTACTCTGTTTCTGAGTGTGAGGGCCTCACAATCACACCAGAAGAAAATGTTTGCAAGCAAGAGACTGAAAGTCCTTACAGGGGTGCTGCAGCAAACACCATCTTGGAATTTCCAAGCCTATCTTTGCCAAATCTGCAAGATCTCATAGCTGAAGTTGACGGGGAGGAAACTGTGGAAAAAATGACAGATTTCTCAGGAGAGGATCACCAAGAGGCCGGTGAGTGCTTTGCAGACTATCCCTCTGACCTTTCCTCTTTCGAATACACAGAGGATGGTGGAAATAATCAAGAGACAAAGTCAAATGCCTCAACTTGCATGAGGCAGCCCACATGCCCGGAAAATGTGACATGGATGGGCGCAGGGGAGACTGATGAGGAGAGAGAAGACGACTTTCTGTACAGCAAAGACTTGGAGATGAATGGAGATGAGGTGATGCGGCTGGATGTGGCAGGCAGGGAGCAGGCTGAGGCTGTGAGGGAGAGCGATGATGGAGATGAAACGGGGGAGAGCGAGTCCTACAGCTCCAGCGATGAGGGGGAACCTCTGCGGACCAGCAGAGAGGAACTCGCAGAAAGTGTGAGAGTGCACTATTTTGAAAACGACAAGCAGATGGAGGACGGTCAGATTTATGGTGGGAGCGGTGGCGCGCTTTCAGCGTGGAGCGTCTCTGATGACCGTCACCTCCCAGACAGTGGAGCTAATCAAGCAGATTTCTCCAGCTGGGACTTTGATGTGTTGAAAACTGACACCTTTCTGAGTGATTACTTGCTGAGCACAGAAGACACAGACAAGGCAGAAACATGTCCCTCCTACGTGCAACGGTGCCCTGATGACGATGCCAACAGTTACTCTGAGGTGCAGAGAGAGGATAGAAGAATGATAAGCCTCTCTAATCAGGGATCCCTTGATGACAGCTTCTTCTTCAATACTGAACTCGAGGCCTCTGGAGTCTCTGAGCCGGGACAGCAGGAACATGATGAATATGAAGACGAGCGGAACTGGGAAAAGGAGCAGGAGAGAATTAAGGCTTTCTACGAGTTCTACAATGACAGCGATGAGGAGAACCTAGGAAAAGGTGAGTTTCATGGGACAGGTGAATATGAATCAGAATGAGAAAAGCAGAAACACCAGTCAAAGTCACTAATTTAGTTTCTAATCGTTTTTCTGTTCAGGCAGGCAAATAAAAGTGCAGTTTTCTTCAGATCAGTTGTCTCAAGTTATTCACTATGAAACTGAGAGGTATGGGATCAAACATTATCTCTTTTTAACATTTCAAATGCAACCTTGACAGATGCAATCAAAGCATGTTCCTGTTTCTGTTGTTCGCTCAGTAGTGACAGAGATTCCCTAACCAGCTCCGACGGGGAGGAGGACACGGAGGAGGACATGAGCTCCACAGACACACCTGATGTAGGAAAAACCCTCATTTGCTTCATAAATCAACACACGTGAAACAGCACAGCTGCTCACAGCAGCACATTATGAACAAATACTGTTTCACTGCTTTGTCTGTGCACAGGAAATGAAGGAGTCTGGAGATATCCTGCAAAAAAAAGATGCCGCCGATCCGCCCGACGTTCAGGTGCCAGAGAGCCCGTCAGACCACAGCGTCACGCAAACCTTCAAGGGAACAAACAAGGTGTGTACTCACCCACATGTCCTGAGAATTCACTTTGCATATGGTCGACGTTACCTCACGGCCCTGCCCATTGTTCTTGCAGACTCTCAGCACGTTGAAGCTCATTTTGAAGATGGTTGTTCTGTTGGGGATGGGACTGCTGATGTTCTGTCTTACTGCAGACCAGATGGACTGGCTCAGCCAGCTTTTCTTCTTTTATGGCTATGGCTTCTTATCATATTTTTAAACTACTCTTGAAAAAGAGAGACACCTGAAATGACACAACTGTCTTGTACATATTTTACTGTAAACATTTCCACAAAAAACTTCTGTATATACAAGAATATGAAATGTTATCTTTGATATGCAGCTATATGTGCTTAATAAAGTTGAGTTTTTTTTTATGTGAGGCTGCAGTATGTATGTGTCTTCTTATTTACAGTTTGGTTAATCAGAGGATAGGAAAGTAATTATACTCTCTCTTTCTTATCAATCATTCAAATGTATTCGCAGGCTTGCAAAAAAATTTTTTTTTTGCAAAAAAAAACATTTTATGTTCATACCAGTTTTATATGAATGAAAAAAGTATTTTAGTCCGTTGAATGAACAGCTTCAAGAAACAACTTGTTTTGACCAGTTTAATACAGTTGAATGTTTCTACTCATTATCACAAACATTCCCTAATAATAGGCAAGTAAAAAAACAGAGATGAACAGTTTAAATCAAGAAAGAACCATACTCTAACTAACATCAAGATTCTTAATATGAATCATATTTTATAAACCTTGGTTATGGTCGAAATGCTTTGAAGCAATAAAGAGGCATAGATTGACTTAAATTCAGCTCATTTACCACATAAGGTGCTCTTTCCCGAGATGTTTTAATGCCTGCCTGCTGGTGGCACTGCTTCACTTGGTTAAACAAAAACAAATTGAATTTAATTCAAAGAAGAACCAAACGGAAATGACGTCAAAATCAAGTTAGACATGCTTGTTTTAATACACGGGAGAACAAACATGGGCGGTTATTGGAGTTCTTTAGGTTACCGCCCAACCGTTCGACTCCACAAAGTATCGGCGCTGCATTGTACGGCAAAACGAACTCTCGTCTCCTGCGGATGGGAGGAGTGAAATACAGTTTCTTTTTTCCCCAACTGAAACCAAAGCTTAACTAAACAAACGGCACATCAACGCCACCTCACAGAAAAGCAAACATGGCATTGCTTGGTAATATGTCTGCGCAGGATATCAGCGACCTGTTGGACGAGTACGGGATAAAACATGGCCCCGTGGTCGGTGAGTGCCCCCAAACTTGACCGTTAGCTGCCCGCTTTTGCCCGGCACAACGTCTGTGTCGGCTAATCTCTCAGGCCTCCCGTCTCCATGAAGTCAATACTTGTAGTATTCTCACTCAAAATGATGGTTTGCTCTCCGCTTTTGTTCCCAGTTACCCGTCTTTGACATTTGTGTTAACTGTTCTCCAGACTCCACCAGAAGTCTGTACGAGAAAAAGCTGAAAGAAGCCATGGCCAAAGGGAAAAAAGCGAAACCATCGCCTGATAAAACTTTCTACAGAGAAGAAGGTGAGTTGTCACCCACCTGTCAAATAGAATAGATCTCAAAAGTTTGAAAGCACAACAGTAGCTTTGGGTTGTTATTACCTGGATGGCTAAAATTATTGATTATTTGGGGTATAACACATATTGAGTCCGCAGATTTATTTATCAAAGCAGTTTGTACGCCCATGTTTAGAGATCCTGGCCCACAAAGATAATAATAATGCTCATATGAAGCAATAATAACTGTAAAAATAAATAAAAGATGGCAGCTAATGAAGTCTAAAAATGTTGATATTTGTTAGTGTGTATTGTTACTGGGGTATTATAAATGTGCCTTTAGTGTTGTGGGTCTGTACACCTAACCAGACATTCAGGGTTCTGCGTGCTTTCTTTCAGAGGAGGAAGTCACCTATGTTTACAGGACACCAGTGAGTATGCCTTTCCACCACAGGCTTCTAGAGTCTGACCTAGCTGTCATTAATGGAGTCCCAAACTCTTTCAGGTCAGGAGCGAAGGCTCTGGAGACAGGTCAGTGCCCTAACCGGGCTCCTGCTCGACTCACGCTGCCGTCGTTTCCATCCACCATCTACCAAAACGTGGTAAGCAAACACTTTGGTGTAACTTATCTGTAACTGTTTGTCTCACTGATTTAGTGGGGCTTACCTGAGGTCCAGACCAGAGTGGGATGAACACGAGTAAGTCGTTGTCAAACAAACATTTTATCTGTCATAGGGTGTAAAGCTTAAAGGGTAAAAAGCCCACTTCTGCTCTTTCTTTTACAGGACGTCCTACTCCAGCTACTCCAGGTCAAAGCCGGAGTACGGAGGGAGGGACTTTGTTGACGAGTAAGTGCTTTTGTGAAACATCACTTGTTGTTCTGAATCATTTTGGCGTCATATTAAAAAAGAAACTGGTGACTTTACTGTCAGCGTGTTTCCTGTCAGTCCAAATTAAGTTTAATTTGATGAAATGGGTTGATAACTAAATTTCAATGGTAAAAAAAAAATCAATTATTTTCTGAACTGAAGTATGAAATTGACCCACGTTCTGTTTACTTTGATATTTGATATGTATTTTTAATTTCAGTTTGTTAGTGTAAACCTAGATCTTAATATTTAATTTTCGTTTAGTCCATTTTAAAATTATTTTATTGACATAACAATCTGAGAGGTTGATGAGTGATTATTAAACGTTAAACCATCCAATATTCTGCATACATATACATATATGGTTCTACTCGCATATCTAATCATATATTGTAAAAATGGTCACGTTCACGTTTCAGTAAGCTCTTGTGGCATATTTCCAACCATTCCTCTCCAGGCCCCATTTGTACAACACATCCTCCACTTTCAGAAACTCCCATCTGAAAGCAACTCCCATGAAATCGGGTCAACAAGATGCTCCAAAGGCTCCACAGTCTCGTCTCATCCCACTGTGGGTGCAGTTTGTGTTCTTCCTGGCCGTCGCTGCCTTCCTGTACTTCGTTTTCTCCAACATGGAGACAAATGAATCCCTCAAAGTCATAGCATGATCCTGAATTCAAACGAGGGAGGTTATGCTTAACTTTTCATTACACATAGACATTTTTTTGTAAAACTCTGCTGAAGGTGTGATTTATGCAATGTGTGTGTTTGTGACTGAAGTCTGCTTGCTACTGCTGACCTATGCTCACTACAGCCGCCCCTCCTGTAATCAGCGTCCACTAAAGCTTTCTTTGTGATGTGATGTGTGGGGAAGCTGCCCCCCCCCCTTCAGGCAGCTGCAGAGTGATCTGACACAGTGCACATCAGCGGATTATCAAAATAATTCCCTGAGTGTCAGTTAAGTTTGGGGGAGGGGGGGTAAAAACATCATTTTGTAACATCAATTCAATGTTCAGAGCCATTTGAAGTAACTCTGACAGGGTGGGGAAATACCGGGTGACTAACGTTTCACTCAAATATCTGCGATGATGACTCATTTAAAAAGGCTTAAGAGTGGACTTTTTTTCTTTCTGTGCATCGAAGATGCATTGAGGGTTTTAAATTCACAAACACCAGATTTGTGGGACTGTGCGTCTTAGGCCAAAAGACTTAAGTGTTTTCTTAAAGAGATTTGAACAAATTCTTGTACTTGATACATTTGATGCTTCCTGTTTCCTAAAATATATCAACGAATTGCAGGTTTTGAATGAAAGTGCCTGATTATATTATTAATAATCGGAGTGCATTTGTAAATATGCATCACCTTTTGTATTCGACATTTAAAATGCACTATACATGCTGTAATGGTGTGGCTTGTTTTCCTCTCAATATGATATCACATTTTTTAAACATTTTGGAGTGTTTCATTGGAACTAAGTTACTGTGTTTCTTTAATTAAAAAAATAAAGAAATTATATACATTAACTTCAAATTATTTATTTAAGACCAAAAATAACTTTCAACAGTCAAATATCTCTTTTAAACTGAGGGTATAAAAATAAATGAAGAACATACTATCATGTCAAAATCTTTTCCGGGGTGAAGTTTGATCTGATTCTAAAAAAACAAAAAACAACCTTCAATAGGTTATCAAATGAACATTTTACATGGCAAACTTAGTGAATGGCAGCGTTTTAAATCACCTACAGCTTCTATTTACAAGCACAAGTGCATTAATACACGTAGTTTTAATGGAGAAAGATGCATAGTAGTGTTAGACTTTGAATACAAAAACATCCTCTAATCCTTTAAGGACTGTTGTTCTGTGGGCGAGTACATGGTTACCTACTGGAGCCTGTTCTTACACGTTCACAAATACAAAATCCTATTTTGGAACTGGGTCTGCAGCAACCAAAGTCACCGTTTCTCCCAGTTAAGCTTTTAGTCAAAGGTTCACACTCCATAATGGCAGAAGCCCGGGGTCACATGGTGTCTTCTCTAATCTCCAACAAAACAGCGGAGTCACATCCCGCCATTCAACGGTGCAAAACAACAACCCGTGTCCTTTGTTTTCGGGCTGTAAGGCTAACTTGAAGTTTGAAAGAGTTCTACAGTGCAGTCTCGGGTCCGTGGTAGTGCTGAGGAAAGAGTGCCTCATCCAAAGTGGGCTCGTCCTGATCCAGCGGGCGGTGGACGACGTTACCGGGCAGTTTGGTTCCCACAGGTCAACTGGATGCAGGACAGACGCAGCTGGAGCCCCCTTGACCGTCCACACGCTCGTGGTCCTGCTTGAAGAGGAAAAGCGTTGCTATTGGACTGTTGAATAAAGACACACACCATAAAAGGACATTAAGTCACGTATGTGCCAGCAGATGTAGACGATGGCTTTCAGAAGGCTGGTGATTGGTTAAGGAGACCCCTGTGTTCCCACTTCTATGGATGAAGGGACCTTAAGTATCTACGCACTTTTAAGATAAGAACTGTCCAATTTCTCCTGCTACCACAGAAAGACAATGGCAGTCAGTCCTTTCAAACTGCAGGCCACCAAGGCGTGGCGTCTCCTCCCACCTGGGCTTTAAATCACAGGAGTGCAAACCTGAGAGCTAATTAAAGCTTTCCACCTTTGACTAACTCCCCCGCAAGGCATGTCAATACAAGCCATGGACCTGAGCCAGCAGGAGGCGAGGAGTTATTCAAATGACACAAGAAAAAAACTACTCCCCGTGTCAGTCAGACCAACACTGAGAAAGATCCAAACGCTAGTCCACACCAAGCGACTTACGCAGCAACAGTGTGTGTGTGTGTGCACAGCTTATTAACACTGTATGTGACAGGAAATACTTTCATGGAAAGCAGGGGTAAATGGAGAAAGGGAACACTGGATATGGATTCATTCCTTTAAGTGAAACGATATAACATGTGCATTTAAAAAGCAGCTGTTCAAAAGGTAAGAGGAGCTTGGACAAGAACCTGATCTCACCTTCCTTTTCGGCACCCGTTGCCTGGACGTCCCATCATAGCTTGTTAATGGATAAGGCAACGTAAGTATTGTCCACACCTGTAAAACAGAAGCCCGCCAGGTTATTCGGAGAACACAAACGGGGCGACTCCTAAAAAGTCTGAACGATTTCAGGCTTGTGATGAGACAAAGGGGGAAACTCACAGGTTCTGGTCTCTCGCTCCAGTTCGGAAGGCTTCTTCTCCTTGTTGCACAGCACTTTGGCCACGATAATTATGGTGATGACAGCGACGACAAACGTCACGCAGGACACGAGCCAGCTGATCACTATGGGACTCAGTACCGGGTCGGGATCTGAGAGGGAGAGGAGTGTGAGTCAGGAAGGGTCCTCGTGCACACAAATAAAAAAATAAACACAGAGGAGACACTTTGCAGTTTGGTAGTGAGCAAAAAAACAAAAAAAAACACTGAGGTTTCTGCCTTTGTGGTCACCTCTGATGGCTATAGGTAGAGGCTGGCTTTCCCTGGAGACAAAGGTGCGTCCGCCCAGCTGGACCCGGTACAGGCAGGAGTAGTATCCCTCACTGGAGCTCTGGGCGTTGGGGAAGGTGAAGGTGACCGACTGGGAGAGGGCGGGCAGCGACTGGCGCACCGTGCCGTTGAACCGAATCAGCCGCAGCTGGAAGGAGCCGCCGGGGTACTGCTTGGGGGTGAAGCAGGTGATGTTGAAGCTCTGGCCCTTGAGGACGGAGCCAGCCGGGGCCTCGGAGGACGTGTTGTACCAGTGCTGGGGCGTCATCAGCTCCACTGTGAACCCGGGCACAGAACGAAAAGACTCAACCAGTCGTTCAGTTTAAAAAATAAAAAGAAAGAAAAGCTCCAACTCTCTCTTAATCTACAGAAAAAGAACCAGAGTGCGGTGGGGAAAAAATGAGTTCTATCCAAGCGCTGTTTAGGTTTACTGAATAGTTCTTGTAGGAGAACAAGAGGCCAACACAGAGCATGTGACTTAGAATTTTACTGTCTGTGTCTTTATATAGCCAAACACAGAAGAGTGGAAATGTCTGTTGTCTATTGTATCAGCTGAGCAACTACATCCTGAATAGGTCCTTGTTTCGCAGCGGTGGTTGACAGTAAACCAATAAGACGGCCCTGCCAAGTGGCAATGGAGAGTGAACTACTCCCCAAAGTAACGAATAACCTGGAACATCCTGTGCCTCGGAAAGATAAGACCCGAGCACAAGACTAAATCCAATTTTCCCGTTACACAACTCATTTGCCGGCCAACAGCGCACAACCAGGCTGCGCCCGCAAAGCGATGCATCATGGGGAGAAAAATGATGGCGCGGTGGCTGAACGTGGACCGTTGACTCACCCACTGTGATGTTGATGGAGTTGCTGGACGGCGAGCTGAGCAGCTGGGCGGGGAAGCCGCCCCGCATGCTGTACTGGCAGCTGTAGCCGCCCTGGTGGAAGGTCTCGATGTCGGACAGGGTGAGGTCCACGCCGATCTGGGCCTGGTCGGCCCGCTGCGTGACCAGGGGCGTGGCCACCCCCTGCTTGTACAGGTGGAAATCGCACAGGTGGTGGCGCAGCAGGACGCTGCAGCGGAAGCGGACCGACTCCCCGGGAGTGAAGACGGTGTGAGGCGACAGCAGGGAGAGGCTGGGCATCAGCAGGGTGCCTGGGGTACAGACCAGCGCGTCACATCAGCGTCTACCTGACACGAGAGAGACCTCACCACCACAGCCGGCCTAGAAACCGGGCGCTCACCTAAGCATTTCACCCCGGCGTCGTTCTTATGGGTGCAGTAGGAGTTACTGTGCAGGACCACCGCGCAGCGCGTCAAACTGGGCTCGTGCCCCAAGCACTGGACGTGGTGCAGGACGATCTTCCCGCTCCCCTGACCGAATTCGGCCCCGCGGGAGGCCGTCTCGGCCAGGCCGCAGCCCAGCTCCAGGCACACCACGTCGGCCTCGTAGTAGTCCCAGCCATGGTCGCACACCGTGCCCCATTCCTCGTGGCGGAGGACTTCCACTCGGCCCGAGCACTTGTTATCTCCATTCACAAGTCTCACCCCGCCTGCGGGTCGGAGATAATACACTTTAGAGAGGCGAGCTAAAGGACAGACTGTGGAGTCAGCAGGATTGTGTCGATACCGGACTTACCAAAGGCAACCACTCCATCCCACAGAGCACCTAACAGGCCTGTGGAGAAATTCAACAGAAAACAACACTGCGGTCACGTGACAACAACACACACTCATGCTCATGAGAACAAAACTATTCAAATCTCATATAATCTCAGAGACCTCTGTCTTTAAGCGTGTGGGGGCTGTGATGGATTGTCAAACACGATGTTAAGGACAGAGTTACTACATAGTTATCAGCCCCTGAGCCAGCTGGATTAGCCTGGGCAAACATCCACACCCTGTCATCAAGCAGCAAGTACCCTCTACTTTTGCATGTCCAGAACAGTCCAATAAACGGGCACTCTGATGCTCTCTGTGTTTTCCCCCGCTGGCTGCAGTTTCCAGCAGGAGATTTCCTCTCAGCACTCTACTAAACGTCACCCAAGTCTTTGAGAGGGACACAGAAGACCGTGATCTGCTATCACGCAGTCAGATCATCCACGCCCACCTGTAGACATCTCACTTGAATCGTTACGGTGCTGTCAGTTCAAGAAATGCTTCACAAATCAAAGCGGTGGCTCCAAGGGGCTACTTAACCCACTTAGCTCCCGGAACGAGGCTAAACCCCACCGAGAAACCTCCATGCAACAGTTAATACACTAAAGCTTCCGATAAAAAGCCACCTGGGAAATGTCTTGGAGGTTAAGATGACAATCTTGTCAAGAGGCACATGATGGATTTTCGTCATGTTGATAGAGCAAAAAAAAATAATTGCTGCTCATCACGTTGCGTAATCGCAAAACGCGACCTAGCAGGCTCTGCCTCCGTTAGCTTCCAGACTGGCTAAGTTGAGCGTTATTAGCTTACCTGTTAGGAGGATACGGAGGAATCTGAGCATCTTTCCGTCAGCCTCCCATCAGATAACCAGTGGGAAGGGGTGCCCGCTGTCTCAGTGACGGCGCTGACAGTCGATTAGGAACATGAGCCGGACTGTGCCCTCCAAAGACTTTGTTAACCGAACCGGACCATCAAAGCGCAGCGGGGACCGGAGCTAACGGCTAACCAACGGTCACCAGCCGACACACAGGGCGCGGTGGTTCGTAGCGTAGACACATTTGTCAGGGCAGTGCTCCTCAGTTCTTTACTAGAAAATGATCCATAAGTCGACATCAAGTGTGGAGGTTCCTGCCGAGTCCAGGTCGCTGTCTAACACAAAATGCGTGCAGCGCGGAACGCGAGTTGGTCTGCATGCCGCCGGGCTTCCGTAGTTCACGTCAGCTGCTTCGCCCCGGTGTTCCGGTGTCCGGTGCTTCTCCCTGCGGCAGACAGAGGTCACCAAAAGCCGCAGCCTGGACCAGACACCCGAGACTCCTCTCCCCGGAGCCTCGCCACAAGGACAGGACAGTAGAAATCCCCCGACTTACACTGTGTCCACACAAAACGGCATTCTTTCTAGGAAAAATGGAAATAAAGGTTGTTTCGTGTCTGGATGTTTTGAATATATCGTGCTATGAGAAGGTTTCGATTTGAAATCAAACATCATTTAAATGTTAGTGATCCCAGCGTGTTTGCAAAGAGACTTTTTGGTTCTTTATTATCTTTTTGTAAATGTTGCATTGAGCATGATTTGATGTGGCATGAGGACAGCTTTAAAAATAAAGATATGGAACTTTTAAACCTCATTTTGTCATAATTCCACAGGATTTTGTCTGTGATCTCAGTGTCCAGGTCACTGAGTTGACCTTAATCCTGCAGTCTGCCTTTTGTCATTTTAACCTTTGTACCTGTTTTCATTGTTTCCTTTTTTTAAGACAGGTCACTTGGACTCATACATTTCAAACTGTTCTTTTTTCATTTTTTTAAAGTAATTTCTGCCATGTGTTGCATTAAAAATCTCTTTCCCTATGTCTTCCCAAACAATGATAGGTTCATGTTGTAATCACATAAATAAATGTTAATTAAACCATTAAAATGTTTTTTTTAAGCTGCTTTGTCTGTACAACCCAATTTGAGAAGGGAAAAAAAAGGAATGAGTTCAATTTTGTCACTTGACAAATTATTGTGTATGGTTAGTAATTTATGAAGATTAGAAAATGTCTGCTTTATGTATGAAACCTCTCTAAAGGGTGAGCTATGCAATCTGCATGCTGGGTGTATTTTAAAGAGGAACCAGCTGTTTCACGAGGCTCCACATGACGGCACCCGCTTCCTTCAGGACTGTGTGGCTGAATCAGGCAAAAAGAGCAGGAAGAGCGCATTTTTGCTTAGTCATGTCTGACTGTCGCCGCACCCAAAGTGACTAAATGGCTCAGATAATGTTTTTTCTCCCCCATTTCCTGTTAATTTCCTATCTTGGATTTTAGGCCTGTGGCCTTTGTCCTTCTTTCAGTTTTTAAAGAGGCTGAGATTCAGGTTTTTTTTTTTCATACGATAACCACGACCTGAGAGCATAGATAGAGCACAGAGTCGCTGAGGTCAGGTTGTCTGTCTAGCATGTGTTTGTTTATTCAGGGTCTTTTATTTCCTTACCGGACTAACTGACATTGACCAGTTTCCCAAGGACACAGAGGAAAACAGTCCGTTCCACCCTCGTGACGGATAAAAAAGTGCAATATTCTCACAGATAATTAAGTGTTACTGGCAGAAAGAGCAGTATTTGATCAAATCTAAAATTAACTTATTAAAGTTACCTTAAATTATAGTCAGACTCTTAAATAAAAATCTTTATATATATCTTAAAATGAAGGAAACTAATTCACTGGGGGCTGGGATATTATTACTTCAGACTTGCATTGTACTGAAATGAATGTTCAGTCATGTGTGGTGATCTAGCTAGCTGCGACAAGGTCCATTTCACTTCACTCAGAATTTGAGTAGAAAACCTGCATTGTCCTAACTAAATATTAAAGGCAGTTTGAAATTAATCAGTTCAGTTTTGACTGATGTAATTTGTGTGCCTTTTATTGAGCCAATGGCCAAATAAGCATCCAGGCGTTTGTATTGTAAAATGTGAACGTCTTCCAAAAAGGACATAAACAGAAAAGCTTGAAGATATGTATAATTATGAAAAACAACATATGATAAATCTTTCTGTGGCTCCAAATTCAAATCTAACAGATTGAACGAAAAACTAAAAGCAGCCTTTGTTTTCATTACCACACGAAGAGCAGAGCAAAAACTCTAACTTCAGGTTGAGTTCCCTTTTCTAACTGAGTCGACCTTCCCGGCCAGCTGTTGCTGTACAACGATAAAAAGAAAACAAACACCTTCAGAAAACAACAAAAATAAAATAACTTAGTTAACTAAAACTATTCTTTACAAAAGGTGACCTTTTCCACAGGTTCGGCGTCTCAACAAGTACTCTGATATCTCGCCTTATTTCTGATCAACTTTTAAGAGGTCTTCAAATAAAATAATATGTATAGCTCTTTGGAGAACAGTGCTAGCTGCTACAGCTTCATCTCAACAGTCTGTGCAGCACTGCATGAAAAGGAAAGAAAACCATGTGCTGCAGTTTCAAAAGTCTCTTTCCCCATTTTTTATATCCATCCTTCCAGAGGAAAGTCCCAGCTTCAAACATGCTTTCACTTGGACTCCCCCAGCAGGTGGACAATGAGTTCATATGTGGAGAGGACGATGGCTGTGTTGGGGATCTGTCTGATCAGCTGTGGAATGAGTCCTCTGTAAAAAGCTGCGTAGCCTTCCTCCACCGCTATTAGCCTCCCTGTCTGGAAGAAGTACTTGTACTTGCTGCCTTCCTCACGCAGCCGTGTCCGAATGACCTCTGTGGAGACAAACAAAGGCAGCGTAGAAACATTTAGTCATTTGGGGGGAAAAAACACCCCAAAAATCTCTTCCTCTGACATTGGGCCGTTCTGCTGCAAGCCATAAACAAAGGGCGAGTTGGCTTACCGTGAGGGTAGGCTATGCAGGACGCACAGCCCTTTGAAAAAGCAGCTGCCATCATCAGGCTCAGGAAGTCCGACGCTCCTTTGTCCTTTTCACCGTTGGGAGAGGTGAACTGGTTCTTGGCCAGGTGTTTCTTCAGTGTCTCGTAGATGAGGAAGCAGATCATGGTCTCTGAGATGCCAGCGTAGGACGCCGTCAGGCCCCGGTAGAAGCCCCTGATTCCCTCCGTTTTGTAAACATAGCGAGCACACTGCAGTGCATTCATCTTCTTCTCTCCTCTGGCTCTGAGACAAAATCCACACAAGGTCATGAGTGACAATAGTCCCTGGTGCTGGGGAGTCAAAGCGTTCAGTTAATAGACATCAAAGACCACTGAATCCTGCAAAGTTCGGATCAGGGAGAAAAACTGGACAACATTTTCCTAATCTATGACCAGTATTTCTAGTAGGGTAAAATAATAAGCAGGGTGCTTTATTCTTTTTTAAAATGTTTTGGTCCAAGCTTTCTTCAAACACATTCCTGCCTTCAAGGTCAAGATTTTAGGTGTGTTATGTGTTCTGCTGCAAAGATAATCCTGCTTTTATTTACATTTTGCACAGTGGATGTTCATTAACCGCCGTCCACTGAAATCTGAGCCTCTCTGGGGAGGTCAGCCTCCCTCTTTGAAAACCTCTGGTGTGAGAGAGATGAGTCCATTCTTTACCGCGGTGAATGAGTAACGACTCTCACCCAAATTATTCAAAGCTTTAGCTCCCTCATGTGTGTGGCCACCCGCTCAGACTCATTCTTTAAGGGCGGACTGAGCAGACCTGTTCCTGTGACCTCACATGATACTACCGTCCCGTGCTTGGTAATGCAAATATAGACTCTAGGTGAAGGACAGCGCGTCAGCCCAGCGTATTTATGGAGGCAGGTCACACGCTCGGTCTCACGCTCTGCAGAAGGCTGGGACAGTGTGTGAGGGGACAGGCTCGCTTTAAAAGGTCACATCAGACTTTGCCACGTGCCAAGCCCCTAAAATAAGTCAGACTGTTTTTCACAGATCTGAAACGCAACAGTTGTTTGTCTTTGGGCACAAATTCCCCAGAAAGTAGGACGGGTCTGAGTTTTACTCACTTTTTTTCGAGCTGCATCCTTGTCTTCACCATCCAGATGGGGTTCATCAGAGAATTGGTGACAAAAGCTGAGGAAAAGGAACAAATATTAAACAACTTTATTTGCTTATCAACACATTCAAACATTTGACAATGAATAAAGCAGGATGACCTCAGATACTGGTCTTTCAGCATGAGCACACACAGGGAAACCACCGCGCTTGTTATTGAGTTTTAATTTTTAACTTTTAAACCCTCAAAAATAATACGCGTCAGGATGGTATGTTTTAGAAACCCCTGGTTTCTTCACGTTTTCACGTACATCAACATAGGTTATGAAAACCAGAGTCTGCTCACCTGCAACACCAGCTGATGACATGTGCACCGGCCCGCTGTTGGGGACAAACAGCCCATTGAACATCTCTTTAGACCTGGAGTACGCCGCAAAGTAAATGGCCCTGAAACAAAGAACACAGATAAGAATGCTGCAGGAAACCAGTTGGAGACAAACCCCGTTGGACTAAACAAATGCATCCTAAAAAATGGGATTGTTGCTTTGTGACTGTTCGGTGGTATAACGGCAGAGTTTGTGCTGAAGGGAAGCTTTCCCAGTGGGTGGCCAGAGAGATCTGTTCCCCTGGGCCTGCTGCCCCAGTCCCGCTTCTGGAACAGACCGTCAGGGCACTAGAATGGGCTGAATAAGCACTGGGCACCAGTGATAGCCACACAGCCGCTCTCAATTCAAGCCTGTCCAAACTGGCCAGTAGAGCGGTGGAATTATCAAGCGAATGATAATGCTTCAGCTACTTTTTAACCAGGGGAGAATTTAAATGTGACTTTTATCACTTAATCAGTTTCAAAGTCTAATTGAACTGTATGAGGTTTCCATTTCATTCTTACACTTCTGCTGTAATAAGTAGAGTTTATAGTCAAGGTTATCAACAATGAGAAGGGCAAAGTGCTTTTTTTCAAACTTCTACACTAAAAATAGGACAAAGGTGAAATTGAAACTTTCTGGGACGCACCGCTCTAAATCTGACCTTTGTTATACATTTATCTTCATCTAGCTGTCCTTAGTACACTAGTTAAACTTTTGTAGATCAACTTTTGTTAAATTCACAGGCCAAGTACATAGTTCAGTGAGTGAACTCTCAACAAGAGACGGAAGTCATTGTCATGACAACAGCTTCCTGTTTGGATGACGAGCTGATGTTTCCAGCCATTAAAAATAAAAAATATATAAACCGGGGCTCCTGATCGGTTTACTTTGGCTGGCAGCCATAGTGTAATACATTACAGAAAAACCAGTGCTTTGTTTACTGCTTTTGGGCACACAAACATCTGTTACAGCAGCAAGCGGCCATCACATGACCTCAGCTGTGTTAAAACTAAAGTGACTGTGGGCAGATGGGGAAACAAATAGAGATTTAGGCAACTCCGATAAGAAATGCAAACCGTGAGTCCCCTGTACCTTGATGGGGCAACACCCACGAGGTTTGGCCCCAGTCCACGGAAAAGCGATCTTGGTCCCTCTTTTTCAAGAATTGATCTGAAATGAAAGCGAAGGCCCGTCAGACATTAAACAGTTAAATATTAAAAAGATTTCTATTAATAGGCAACATGATTTACTGAACTGCATGAAAGATTATCTCCTATGGAAACTAATCTCTTCTGCAATCCTCCACACTGTTACATCAGCACAGTTCACTTGAGTTGGTTTTGTGGATTCCAAAACGAACTCTGTGCCCTGGCTGGCACTCGCCCTGTCACAGCAGACACAAAGCTGTGTCAGCCATTTGTAGGAAGTCGCTTATTTTTGCAACATTTTGCTGTTCCAGAAACACCAGAAGGAGGGCGGGTGTTGTTGCAGCCTTGGGAGGTTTCCACAATGCACACCTCATAACTTCAGCAGGGATTCCCGTATTCCACTCCTCTCACGTGTGACACCACTTCACGAACAGTAGCCGGGGACAAACACTGACCTCCTTCTTGAGGTCAAAGCTGTGCTCAATCACAAACGTTCAAAAGGCAGGAGACGAAGTTCAAAGTCGACATTTACTTTAACTTTAACATAAAACTGAAGCACGGGAATACAAATACAAAAGAAAATTAATGTCAGCTCGTAGCTGTGAAGCTCATCAAACCAGCATGAGACAAACAAAGGTATTTAAACCTACATCAGCAGCCAGCACCGGTTCAGGCCAGCTCTATTTGTTAAACTAATGATTCGAGCGTAATTCAACACTGGTGCTGCGCCTGTTAATCCCTTAGCCTTATTTTGTCTCACCCTACTGACCTATCCTGTAGTCTTCCCCCCCTAAAGTCCGCAGAAAACAGGTGCATTCACAGACATCATAAACATTTGCTTAATCAAAATCATAAGCGCACGGTGGAAACAGGTTTCACTTTCCCTATACAGCTGGTTAAAAAGTCACTGCATATGAGCAGGATGTGGTCTAACTAATCCTCTCTTTACGTAGGACAAAATTGGGGGCCTGGATTTAAGTATTAAGGCAGAGCAAATTACAGGTTCTCCTGACTATAATTAAGAAACAAATGAAAAGGTCTACGAATGACGTTATTGCCCTATTTCAAAATAACAAAATTATTTGTATTACCAACAACTCCGGCTTGCTTGGATACTCTATGGAGACTCAAAAACAATAACAAACAACTTTGCTGACAGTTTGGACCGCCAGCTGTCCGGAAGGAACACTCTTCCTCAGGAGGAAAACACAGCACCTCAGGGGACAGGCCACGGAACACACTGCTCCACAGACAAACATCTTACCGTAGGACCTGCAGCAGCCCAGGTGTGACAGTCCCTGGTCGAATAACCCCGGCGCCACTTAGGCCGCCAAGCTGAACCTGGAAGACGGGCCTGAGGGTGAAGCCAGACGACTGCAGGCGAGTCTTCAGCACCTCCAGTGGGCAGGTCACGATGGCTCCCACCGTTCCACTACATCTGTCAGTTGATCGGAGAGAAGGACAGTGAGCACTTTCCTGTTTAAAAACGTTCAAAAGGGCTTGCCACATGTCCTTATGAATGAAACATTCTTGAAATTCATGTGGCTCCAATACTTGGATTTACTCATGAACCTTCTCAGAGGAGTCATTTTCCACATTAAAAGCCATCTGGAGAGCTTTAGGCCCAGAGCAGTAAACAATTATGGTCAAAAACCGACCCATTGCTCCGGAATGGAAATACTCTAAAACAGACCAACACATCTGGTGTCTGGGATTTTCAAACCCACACAACCTTAACGAGCATGAAAAACACTTTTTTTTTGTCTGATGAAAGTCTGCTTTCTTTATTCCAGCTAAAAGTGATTTAATTAGTTATTTAAAGCTCTTTCCAGCACATCCTATATGCACAGTGGAACATTGTCAGGGAGAAGCTAAGAAGTCTGGAACAGATTAGACTAAGCCTCTGTACCAAGTCGTGTCTGAAGGACAGAGTCAAACATCTTAACAAAAGTAACACCTGACCTAATTATGTGTTCACTCATAACTTGTCATCCACATCCTGAGGAGGCATTACTCCCATTAGGAAGTCCAACACGCCGCTTTATAGAGCGGGCAAACAATTAACATGCAAACAAGATGAGGTGATGTGGGGCTGAGTTGTTTTGGCCACAGACACTAACCATAAAGATAAGAAATTATGGAAAACATTGTGTGCTCTCAGAGTGATAAACTTGCATGTGTGTGCAGGGCCCTTTGAAGACCTGGCTCCTAAAAAAAAAAAAACTTTAACATTAACTACTTTGTGGTTAAAAACAACGTTGGTTTGTCCTTTAAAGGACTGCAAAACAAGTTAACATTTTTTTTTTTTTTTTACTTCAAGGTTAACTTTAGAGTCAAACATTTCCCTGTATGTTTATTGTTCCCTTTGCCCTCCCCCAATCGTCTCTCTTCCCTCATTCAACAGATATATTTTTAGTTATTTTGCCCCCAAAAATACGTTAAAACCGAATATTGAAAGGTCTTTATTTGACTAAATTACCACGATAATAGGTCCTTAATGTCATTGTGCTGCATTTGTGGCACACATGTTAACATTAAAAAATCTAAGACAAAATGTTGTTTTCTTTATTACGTTACAAATACACAAACGATAAAAAAGAATTGTGAGAGCTGTTTTTTAAAATAAGTTCTTCCCCTATTCACCGGTAATGTCTGTCCTTGTACGAGGGATAATTATGTACTTGTTTTAAAATGCCAGACAGCAATTGCTCCACGTGCCTAGCTAAAATGACACAATTATATGCTTCTTCTAAATATCTCAAGGGTAAAATGGCGTCAATTAAAAGAAGTACGTCCTAAAATTGTGACCGTAAATGGGAGTGCATGTTGCCTAAACGGTTCTCAAGTCGTTCTTTCGTAATGGAGCATGAAGAGGTTTTTTACATAATATTTTTCGAGCATGTGGTGAGGAGTTGAGTACATCGCCGTCACGCAGGGGAGGATGTTCGCAGCGAGGGGGCTTCAACGTTACATAATAGCAAAGGACATCACGCAGCTAACCGCTAACTGCACCCGTGACTGCGCCAAAGCCACACGTAATGGGACACTGGTCTTCAGATAGCTCAATGTTATGAAACAAAGTGCCACTTATATACAGATTTACTTTTAAATCTACAACTAATCGCGGTTCCTCGCAGCAAGAATACAACGCGTCACGTCTCAACAACCAGCATCGATATTTAGTTAGCTAGCAGCGTAGCATTAGCAAACTTCCGTATGGATACGGTCCTGGACGCTGCTTACCGGGGGGGTTCATTGTTCACAACGTTAGCGAGCTTATCAATTTTACTTCAAACACGCAAGTGTTTAAGTCCAAGTTGGTATATCGCCTACTTATTTTATACTACACCAATACCTTTATTGGATTGAATTAAACCTAAAACGTTTATAACAGTCAAAAGCTCGAGCCGTGCCGACTTAAGCTAGCTCGCAGTTGTACTAGCATGGTGGCTAGAGGTTATGTCACGCTAGGGAAGGAAAATGTCACAGCAATGCAATTAAACAGCTTTAAATGAATTAAATAGCTGTATGGAAATGAAGATGACATTTCGAGCGAAATGTATGACATTTTAAGCCCAACGTGGCAGAAAGCAGCGCTGAATTGAACTTACCCCCCGGCAAAGAGATGAAGCAGCGTGTCTTTCTGTGCCATCTTTTTCTTGTGTCTTCTTATTCTTCTTAGTTTACCACCATGGTATAACAACTACCCTCCGAAAACCCGCGCTAAATCAAAGAGAAAGTGAAATGATCCCAGCGCTCGGCTGCTCTGCCTCGGTGTCGCCTCCCGGCCGGCCGGCTCGCATCAGCTGTCAGTGAAGCTCTCGGGGGCAGGGGGGGCAGAGATGGAGCTTCTGTGGTTTACGTCAGACGGCCTGCCGGGGGTGTTGCCTCTGACGTAGACACATGTGCGATCTGGCTTGTGCCTTTGGCCTTTTTAAGTTCTTACACAACAATTAACTTCAGCAGAGCAAAAGAAAAATAAAACCACTGTAGGGTACTTTGATCTGGTGTTTATCTGCTGACCTTCACCCGTTTCAGGGCAAAATAAATATGGCCTTTGGCAAAGTTTTGAAGTATGACCTTTTTTTAAAAAACCTGAAAGTAGGTTTTATTAGCATGAAGTAAACTAAATACCTCAACTTATACTGACAGTTATTTCAAAGAGAAGATATAGATCATTTAAACTCTGTTATTACTTTCAAATCCAAACATTTTGTTGTTATTGTTATTTGAAATGTGTGACTTTTTATTTATTTATCTAGAAATGGCCATTGTTGGTATGAAGCAGGATTTCATATGGATTACCTCCTCCAACAACACTGTAAATGTGTTGCAGTTAGTCGTGTTCAGAAGATGACTGTGGGGGTGCCGCTATTAACACCTAGATTATTTAATTAAAGTATTATGCTTTTGTAATATATGCAGAATGTAAACTATCAGTAAGAGGGATTAAAAAAGGCAAATCTTTGTTAATACTAATTTAACAGAAGTGTATTATTGAGTTATTCATATGTTATTGTATAGTTTCAACACTGTGTGCTGGTAAATAGAAGGTCACCTCAATGTCTAAAGATTTCATGCAGCTGAACAATGCATGCAGTACTCCCTGAACCATACAATAATCTTAAAACATTTTTTATCTGGTATTTATGACTTCCTGCCAATGATCTAACTGACAAATCCTGAATCAAATTATCTTTTTGCCTGGCATGAGTCTATATGAAGGGAGACAGAAACTAAAAGAATGACATCCCCATCTTAAACAGCAGTAAAAACACCCAACAACAAACAAGAATGGACATCAAATATGTCCTTATGACTGTTCACCTTGTTATTGTGGACAAATAACATTTGTTATCAGCCTCCAACACGCAGATGCAGTAAATCCTGGCACGCAGCTCCAACTGACACCCTCAGGATATCTATAGAGACACACAATCACCTTGACTGCACCTTGTTTGTTTGCCTGTAAAGTAACTCCATAGGTGGCGTTTTGCCAAAGCTTTCTCACTCACCAGGTGTTCGTGCGTTTTGTTCCGATTGAAATAAAACCAGTGTGTACATGTAAGACAGTTGGCTGCAGCTCATTCTGCTTCCCAACAAAGTTCTGAATCAAGTTTGCTTTCTTGTATTTGTTTGTTACAATTGAGGGAACCATGTTGCGTCACTCATTGCATAACAGGGTTTGTGTGTCCTTTTCATACCAACACGAATGGCCTAATTTAAGCCTGTGTAAATGATCCAACCTGTGACATGAGGACGTGCCCCTCTCATTCGTGTCCTCAATGCTCCACATTACAGAGGCATGTAAATAGATGGTGACGCCTCACGGCCAAATTTCCATGCAACATGCATTGTGAGCGTATCATTTCAAATCAATCCCATACCTGTTAAACGAGTTGTTAAAATTGACACCCAAGTACTCCCTTCATGGGTGTCAAATTGAACAACTCGCTGACCAGATTCACACAAAACAAAGAAACAACTGATCTTAAGGTTTCATATGTCCAACATTTGGATGTCTTAAATCAGCTGCACTTAGCAGCTTATTTGTTGCTGTAGTGTTGGAAATGCTGACATCCAGTGACCAAAATGCAATTTGCGGCTGGGGAGAAAGAAACACAAAATTCTTTATCCCTTTTGATATGTTATTCATTTTCTACATTCAGAGGGCAATTCAAAATTATTTTCAAAGTGACTCAGTCATTTCTAGCTTCTCTTTGCAGCCCCTCGTACCACTGAACCTAATGTTGCATGATCTGGATTGTTGCCACTTCTGATTTAAATAGATTTTTTTTTCAGAGTTAACTATTTGAAAGACTTGAAGTAAACTACAATGTCTCACTCGCATATCCTGCCGTGACTCCTGGGGAAGGAAACATTTCTGAATCACTCAAATATGTCAGCAGGACAGCTTTCAATGGCTGCTTAGTGTTTTATACAGCATGTAAAACAGGGGGAAAAAATGCTTTATCAACTGGAATAAACATAGAAACAATGTGGTGTAGCACAAGCATAAGAAGCTCATTGTTAGAGCGAAAAAGATTTCCAAAACCACATTCATCCTGTTCAGTCAGTGGGGGGCTGAAGCCTATCCCAGAACCGTCGGGCAGGGAGGTGAGATGAGTCACCGAGATGAATCATGGTCCTTTCCCACCATTCCACGAAATTTGGCACGGTAGATATTTACACAATCCTGATATACAGAAAACAAAGAGGACAGAGCAAGCACTTCACCTACTTAGGTAAGGAGAGAAGTCGTGGATTATATCGGTGACCTGCTTTGAGACATATGGGGATTTTCATGCAGCCATACACTGAGGCCTGACCCACTGACCTCGGTAAGGCTCCGTAATTGGTTTCAATTCGACATATTTTCTGTGTTATTCAGTAATTGTGTTTCTGTACTCATAACAGCTCTGAGACTGACCTGATCCGCACCACATCTCACTTATACACCCAGCGCGTAATGAAACAAAGCACGATGGCATGGTGTGATGAAATTCTCTCAGAACCACAGGACGAAGTAGCAGCCAGGGGCTGCAGCTCAGATGCACCGCTTTAACTTCTCATCTTCATGTGTGAGCACCTCTTTAAGAGCACACGTTTATCTAAGTCCGTAGCATCCAGGTAAGCGTGCGCACAATGCCAAGGAGGAAAGACATCAGCAGTGATCTGAGAGAAGTAATTATTCACCCAAATCTGTTGAAGAGGTATCCCATGTTCCACGTCTATGGTCCACACCGGCTGGTTTTAATCCCACCTAAGTCCCCTCTCTTTCCTGCAAGGGAGCACTGAAAGAGAGCCACCTGTGAAGGGATGATCTGGGCTTGTTATTGCAGCCAGCGCTTCTTAAAAACCCCATTAGACAGCTGCAGCCACAGGGCTCAGTGGAGAACAGAGGGGCGGTTCACACCAGACGCATTAACAGATGCCTTTTCGTATCCCATTTTTCAGACTTCACTTTGATTTGAACTAAAGCTGCTTAACCTCCTCTGGCTTCATTCCAGCAAAAATCTGTCTAAATATTCATGTCATCCATCTTGAACGGTTAAGTTCAAAAGCTTTTAAAACGGGGACACAATTGTTCACACAGGGCCTATAAGAACTCATTCTGAAACCGTCGTGAAAACTTTACTGCAATGGGGAATTTTTTTTTGTCTAAAACATAATCTAAGACGGTATGGTACTGGTAAAATGAATAATTGAATTTAACCAACCAAAGTACAGCTGGACAGTAAACAGAGTACAAAAAGTACCCGGAGTGCAGAGCAATTGTTTTCCCCATGTCACCCGTTGTGGTGCCATAATAAATCTATACCACTTAGAGTGAGTCTGCAGCCACTGGCAGCTACTGTGCTGATATCACAACAGCATGCATGACGAAGCACGGTGGGTAATTTGAAATAATCTTTAATAGATACTTACAAACAAATCTACAACAGGGAATATAAATCAAGTGGAAGCTGCAAGCAAGGAACAGTAAGATGTAGCGCAGTGCGTGCACATTCAGCGGAATGAATATGCACCGCCTCCGCACATTTTAAAAATACTAAAGTCTATGATATGGCATTCAACAAAATGTTGGCAAACTTTTCTTTTTGTTACATTTGTGCAGCACTTTGTAGATTGTCGTTTTCTGTCAGAACGGTACTTTAAAACCAGAGCTTGTAAATTCAGGCACCCGCACGGCCCGTTCCCCGTACCACCCCGCCCCCAAATCCTCCCCCGTACATCTCATTAACACAAAAACACAACATCAATGGTTCTCAGCTTTGTGCCACTGGGACCCAAGAGTCTGCCAACCAGTACAGAGCCAACACTGGTTGAAGAAAAAAACCAGTGGTCAGCTGATGGACAGACTGGGAGTGTGCAGACGTTCTTGGGCCTCAACAGCATGTGGTTGAAAACTACTGCACTACAAAAAAGCAGGAGTGACAAAATGATAAAAAGACGTGTGTGTTGACAGGTTTCCTGCAGAGGCATGCTACAAATAATCACAGTGACTATCTTAATTTTTAAAAAAATGAAAAATGTTCCTGTTGGCTGTCTGAAGGGTCACTTCCACATCAGAGAAACCTGACAGTGCTGTGAGTGGTCAGTGCTGCTCTTTAAATGCCTCACAGTGCTTTCAGCCAACCAGCCCTAGAGGCTCTGTATGAAGTGGTCACCATCTCTTTTTCGTTTAGTTTTGTGTGTCTTGTGAGCAGCAAATACCTATTTAAAAATCCATTTCTAAAAACAAGATTATAATGCTCAATTTGAGACAAAACACTGTTGGCTTGAGTGTGCTGCCACCTTGTGGTAAGATTACAGCGTTACACTACCACGCCAACACTTCAAGTCAAGCGTTCGTCACCTCAGTGTTGTCTTAGCACAACGCCATCTCAATTCCAAAGGCTACAAGAAAGGAATGCATAAACGGAAAATGTGTGGAGGTCACAGCAGAGGCACTGACCACTTATGCCCCATCAACCAACAAACTACGGGCGGTTCACTGCATCAAGGGCATCAGCTGGACCAGTGAGTGCATAGCGCTCTGTGATTCCTGATTTATAGGAGTTAGAGAATACAATTGCATGAGTCATAAAAACAGGATAAGAAAATAAAAATGAAAAAAAAAACAAACAAAAAAAAACAAGTCCAGCCACCCACAGAAGAAGTCTACTTGCTAATTCACCCATGAGGCTGAGTCAGTCCCAAAGGCTGGAGTAATGCTGTCAGACGGGTTCAACCGAAGAACGATCCCAGAGAGAGACGAGAAACAAACAAGGGTGTGCTGAGCATGTGGCCGCCAGCGTCATCATTGGTAGAGCAGGTAGTTCTTGAGAGAGGCCGGCAGGGGCAGTCTATGGATTTCACTCAGGCGGTCTCTTCCCAGGGCCACCCTCACCGAGCGTCTACACAGGTCCATCAGAGAGAGGGGTTCAGCTGGGGGGACGAGAGAGGGAGAGGGGTGAGGAAAGGAATCTGCACAGATCTAGTTTTAAAATGCATTAAAGACGTCAACAGAATGGGTTGTGTACACAAAAATGCGACCAAAAATAAATAATGGAGATCGGTCCTGACTTCCGTTGCTCCCTGATATTAAAAGGCTGTTCACACACCAAGAAATAAATGAATCAATAAGATGGATATATGATAATGGACTTCCATTCATTTCTACAGCTGCACTGAACAGGACATAAACCTTCTTAATACCAGTAAGAAAATGTTGACTGTAGCTTTTACAGATTAGTGGGGCAGAACGGGGGACAATCTGGGTCATCTACCAATCTATTTGTTTGGCTGCTCGTAAAATGATCAACTCTTTGTGTAAGGCCATTCACGGCTTTGCTTTTTGAAAAATTTACATAGCCACAACAATGCAACACCAGAGTTCTAGTGTATGTCCTGATGGAGCCCCCATTAAAATACAGACACACATCTCCAGCAGATTCACAGCAACTCAAGCCTCCATCTAAATAAATAATAACCTCTTATTTCAATAATCAGACAGAATAAATAAATAAATAAATAAAAGACTAAATTACAATGAAGACTTATGCACTCTCAGCTAAAAGTAACCAGAGTAGTCTGTCAAACTGAAACTGGCTGCTGTGTGCAACGCAGCATGTGCAGAGCTCCTGCACGGGCCAAAAAGTGGGTCGAGCGATCAGAGCTCAACATGAAAATGTAATGAGCTTGGGGCACCTGGTGCATCTGCCTCAAAAAGGATTTGATGTGCACCCTACGTTTCATTTTCATGCTCAAGTCTTTTACCAGGGAATAAAGGGGGTTATCTGTCTAAGGTGGTTTTCAACAACAAGACGTTCACGGGGAGAACACCTGTGCATTTTTCAGGACAGTCTGACGTGCAAATGTCAGTCACATACATTTAGATTTCCATTCCTATGTAATTTGGACCTTATAATATGTAACCTTTTGGAATGGCCCATTTATGCCTTGCAACAAAGCATCAGCTGTTTATTGCATCAATATATCCTTAGACTGGTTAAACGAGCTCCATATGCAACATGTCACAGTTAACCTGCTGCTTAGAAATAATCTTTTTCAAAAGTGATACTTACGATCAAGTCCATTTATGTACCGGATTCGTATTTCACAGTGTCCCCACACGGCGCTCACCACGGGGTACAACTTCCTGCCTTTAAGTCCTCTGAACGCCACCCCAAGGTAATGTCCGTCCACTATGTAACCCAGAGTCCCCTCATCCATGTCCAGGACCACTAAGAGGGAGTCTGGGATGATGAAGGTGTCGTCCGGCTCGAGGAAGGACGGGTAGGTTTTCCCGGGGAGGTTCTTGCCGTCGTGGTAGAGTTTACTGCGGCACAAGTCCCAGCCCCAGGATTCGGCCGTGCTTCCCACCAGAGCCGTGTAGCCCACCGAGTGCAGCGGCGCATCGCTGGTGGCGACCCCGACCACGGCGTGCGTGCCCCGCTGCCGCATGGCCCAGCTGATCTCCCACACGTGCAGCCCCCTGGTGTAACCCACGCGCCCGCGGATGGCGTCCGTGCTCTGCGCCACCGGGTGTCGGTGGAACACCAGCTTGTTGTCGTCCTTGACGAAGACGTTGAGGGAGCGGTCCTCATTGTTCCACGAGTGCTGGACCTGGACGTCCAGGCTGGCCGGTGGCATGTCCAGCAGCAGGTCCAGACGAGACGGCTTGGTTTGACTGAGGTTCTGCAGCTCCAGCTTGAGGGGACTGAACGCCGGATCTCGCATATCAATGGTTTTAATGCCACCTGGGACTTTCTGCCCCATGCTCCAGGTGGTTATAGCAACTCGTCCTCCCCCTCCTTTTCCTCCTCTCCCCCCTCCTCAAACACAAATGGGGGGAGTAATCAGCCTCTGACCCTCTCCTCCACTGTGCTCCTGCAGCCCAAGACAAACGCCTGGCGTCCAGTGTCTGATGCAAACCGCCAAGGTGAGACAAGTGTAGCCTGAAGCCTACCTGGAAAGTCAGAAAAAGATGGGGAGACGTCAACTATTTTCGTCTTTCTCGAAAAATCCAGCCCGAATAAGATCAGGCATTTCATAAGTTCAACTTGAAGGCAACAAAGTGTGACCTCATCAAACGGTATTTTCTGGAAATGTTGCAGTTTACATCAAATCAGGAAATTCAGTAAATATGTCAACTAATTAGTTTAAGGGGTGGACAACGACCGATAAGCTGCAGGGCAGCGAGAGGTCTGAAAAGTCCCCTTGTTGTCATGTGATGCTTTGAGTTTAAAAACAAAGAGTACAGTGTCCTATGTCCTGAGTCTGAGAAATAAACCCCATACAGCTTTACAATGAAGGAAGAAATCATACAACTGCGCACCATGACCCGATTCTCTACGGCCTGGCGAAAGCCGGCCGATGTGCCGTCATTATGATGCAGTTAACCAAATCAAAGTCAACTCAATTTCAAGTCTTCAGCTATTGAACGGCAATGTAGGAAAACAGGACCGTATGAGCCTGTTTTTCCTCTCAGTTCACTGTGAAATACAGAAGTGGTTACAGTTAAACCATTGATAGACTGGCGTTGCTGTCAACACAATCTTTGTAAACAAGTGGCGACAGAGGGAAGCAATGCAGCTAGCAATGTCCTGTCATTCGGAGATCCGTCAGTTCTACACAGTCATTTTTCAAAAGCTTCCCTTTTTCATGAAAATGTCAGAAATTTTGCAGAATTAAATTTAACTGTAAAAAAAAAAAAAGGATGGCGTGTCTACTCCTTTTGCAGGGCTCTAATGTTATTCCATTAGGAGTGCATCACTATATGCCTCAGTCTTGTAGTTTTTGACAGAAGAGACGTGTGAAATGCACACAAAAGTGTAAACAGCTTATCAAATAGCATCAAAGTTTGTTACACTCAATGATTACTGTAAAATGCTGTCTTTTTACCAGATCATCATAAAATCTAACAGTGCTAGGAAACTAATGAAAGCTAACCATACAGATTTTTTTTAAAACACAGACTCCATGTCTTCCACAGGACAACATTACTCAGCAGCCCTGAAAGTGAAAATTTCCCACCATCTCCAAATATAGATTGACAAAAAAAAAAGAGGGGAAAAAAAAAACACTACAGTCATTTCCCTTTTTATATGACTGTCTAGTCAGGCAACAGGAAAAGCGGTAATAATGTCTGAAAGAAAAAAAAAAGGTCAAAATAGTGTCACTCTTGATGGATAAACTCCAAACAGCTGCTTTGAGGCAGAAACTTTATGATAAAACCCAGATTAATACACGCTTACATCACCAACGCCAGACCACAGCTGGAAAGGCACAGTAACAAGTTTAATTACACAAAGATCCACTTCTGTTAAAACTACTTGAAGTAACAATTCACTTTAAACTTTAGAGATGACATCAGAGGGTGTTGGATCCGATTATGAAGTGACTTGTGGATGCAGGTGTCACCACTGCTCTTTGGTCATCCCGTTTCTGAAAAGCAGAAACACTGCAGAGGGCATTGTGTAATGTGGAAAATTATGCTGCTGGGAAGGCCACTCTAATTGAATTGTAGACAAGAGTTCATTGAGCAGTGCCTTGGCTCTTCTTCTAATGCAAGTAAACAACCATTTAAATGGGTCATGTCTCCTTAGTGATTGGAAAACAGGATGGAAGAAAAAGCCAGCAGCGGGTGTCCAGCATCTGAATGTAAACAATCTCCTTTTCAATGGCTGTCCGGCTTTCAGGGAAGAGTGAAACATGTTAATTTACACACTCTTTGAACAAGGACTTTACCGTTCCACCTCCCAATGCAACGCACACCACCAAAACACCACAGTGCAATTAAAAAGGTCTTCCCACATTTATCTTGTACCTCAAAAACAAACATAACCATCCCTACTATAAAAAGGTGGCCAGTGGAGGGGCGTGTTAAAGGCGGCTGAGGGCCAGGCCTGGGCTGCATGAGGTTCCTGGGGCCCTGGTTTGGTTTGGAGCTGATTGAAATGCAAGAGGAAAGACTTGCTGGATTTGATGAGCCAAGGAAAGCCTTTTTGTTTTCCTCATGTAAGACTCAATTTAGACTGGACTCACCTGACTTGGCTTGTTTGCTGACCTGCAGAATACACATTCACTGATTATCATTTTTTTTAAATAGCAGAAATGGATGCAGGACTTTATGGGGCCTATATAATTTTTTGCTCTGTGTAATTTACTAAGCATAGTCTCATACAGCCGTGCAACAAAACTAAAATAAAATGCACAAGGCTGTTTGTAATGAAACCTTATCTCACTGCCCCAAACATGGTGGCCTGAAACATCACACAGGATTCCCACTGAAGCCAGTGGGGATACTCACCTCTCAGGTCAACAGTGCCACCAGCTACAGGCCTGGCCCGAGCAAGACGAGCCGAAAACACACGTCTTCCCTGCCGTTTAACAGACATCTGAGCCCCAGCAGTCGGCATGAGAGTGCCTGGTGTTCTGGCTGCTGTATTGGGGGTACAACACTACTACCTGGAGGCCTGCTATCCCGTGAGCTCGCGAGGCTAGCCGCTGCGAACGCAGCCTAACGTCCACGGAAGCCCTCGCGTGCTCGGCGACCGTTGGCTCCAGACTGGAGGAACTTCCAGGAGGAACAAAGGGGCAGTGGCTCGCCTTTGTTTCGTGCCTCTGTGCGCGTTTACCTGGAGCCGGGGCGTTCGTTACACAACACGAAGCACCGACCGTCGGGGCTAGCCCCAGCGGCTCCCTGAACGCGGCTAACGTCAATGAGGGGCGACGGCGACGAGGCGAGTCACGCACGGCTAGTGCACCGGCGGTCTGGGCGGAACGTTCAACTTGGCGGCGGCCGTTTGCTCGCGGCCGTAAATACACGTTACGAGGGGCGAAGGCTGCAAGGCAATATAACGCCACACACGAGCAGAAAAACCACAGAGAGGCGAGAGAACAGACCTGGGTGAGTTGGGAGGCAGCGGCGCGGACGACACCGGGTGAGGCTTCAGAGTCTTCAGAGCCTTCACCTACTTCATCCTAGTTCCTCTTTGGCTCGTTGTCTCACCTTTTGCGGTTTGAGCCCGGGCTTGAATTAGGTGAAACGTCGATGGCTGCTCTAACATCCCTCGCATCACGTGGTAAAATGCTCCCAGCTGCTAAACCCGATTAGGACCTCCCCGTGACGCTCTGCAGCCACACGGAAGATGGTGCCGCACAGCCACGGACTGTTCATTCGAGCACAGTTACAACAGATACACTCATATCAGCCAGATGGCGTAAAGATGAAAGTCCTCTGCTTTTGAGGGAGTGATACACGTCTTTCCCTTATATTTCTGTCAAAGGCTTTGCCTGCTGTTTTACTCGGATCTATGATAGCTGCAGTATTTCACGTATGTTTGAGTTATTTACAGACAATACCATGTCTGTATATATGTACATGTATATATATATATCTATATCTTTCCTTTCCGAGGTTAAATCAATGAAAGAAAAAAGAAAAACATGGCAGCACAAGTAGAACTGAGGAGAAACGTGTTCCCTAATAGTAAAATGGCCTATTTCGTTTCAAGAGGTACACTTTGAGTATTTATTTATTTATGACCTTCCTCTTCTCTGTTTTTTTGTGTTTGTGTTTTTCTTTTACCTTGGTGCTACTGCAGTAAATACCAAAATCATATTTGTCCATCTCAACCTCTTTCCTCCCCTCCTCCACCTACCTGTGACCAATTTAATGTTCTGCAAAAATATTTCAAATTATGTCATTTCTATATATATATTTTAATAAAGCTATCCTCGGGGAGGATGATGGGGGACAGAAGTCTGCGGACCACCCTTTATTCCTGTTCGGGGAGTGATATGTCAACGCAACCTTGTAAAAACTGAGTTAAAAGTAAATGTATTTTCACTGCTCATCCGTCAGGTGTTTTACAATCTGATGGTATCCTGCAGCAAAACAATGTCTCGGTGGTGTGACACACAACACATTAAAGTAGGTTTAAAAACAACAGAAAAAAGGGGGGGGGGGGTTGTTAATAGCCTCTCACACTGCCTCCCCTTTCCACCTGTCTGTCTTCTCCTGCTCACAAATGTCTGAGCCTAATGACTAAGATGTAAAGGCGAGGAGTTGATGGCGTGAATCTAGTGTGCAAGTTGGGAAATAGAATAAGTGGCCAGTTTCATTCGTTTAGTTTGAGCCTCTTTGTTCGCTCTCCTGCGTCCCACTGCCTGTGAGCGATACATTGATCTCAGCGCAGCTCGTCTTAATGCCTCAGATGTACCTGCAGGCCAGACAAGTGGTGAGAGAGGAAGATGCTATGGAGGCTAGAAGCAAGGAAACATCTGTTTTTCCAGCACTGGTGAGGTTCCATGAAGCACACTGCATCAGAATGCGATGTTATCACAAGCACATTTAATGCTCATCTGACATAACGACACATCTGTATAGTGCAACAAAAAATGCTTCATTGATGCAAATGTGTCACATATACTGAAGAGACGTCATTATAAGATGGCAGCTCTAAAATAACCTGTTCCAATCTGATGTGTCCCTCTCCCCTTCTCACTCCTCTCGTTTGCCCCATTTGCATCTCAGAAAATGCCTGTGGACCCACTCGCATCCTGCCAAAAGAACATAGAAACTGTGTGACTAACACCAGCAGTGGCATGAATGCAGCTCCAGTGGACCGTGGCTGCTCACAGACTGGAACACTGATGCATGTTGTTGCTCGGCTTGACCTTCAGGCCTCTCCATCTCTCAACTAATGATGTGAGGGAATCTACATGGGTCACTGCTGTGTAGACACAATCATACATAGAGACGATCACAGTCCTGCTCCCTGACACACTGAGCCCCAGGGACTCTAAGTACGTTCGCTGCTGGGTGATTTGGACGGAACGGGATGATGCACACACATACATTGCTTGTGTGCCGGACAGCAGATTAAGTCAGTTCTAATCTTTCCAGCTGATAACATTAATAGGCAGATACTTTTTTACCACAGAGTCCAGTCATAAGGGGAACAGAAACTAGCGCAGTCATTTTGTGTCGATTAGAGACGGCCACGGTGAACCTTTCTCAGCTCCTAATTAGTTTTACTCTGTACGCCCGACACTGGCTGCTTTGCTGGAAGACTCGCAGCCCTGTCTGAGTCAGAGCAAACATGCGCAGCATTTTTCAGTGGATCCTGCAAAGTCCTGGGACACTGTTGCCATCTAGTGGATTCTCTGGAACACAACTCCTGCTTGATAAAAGCTCCCCTCTGATTCTGCACAGATCTGCTGTCCATCATTTTAGTGGGGCAACTGTTTAATTCTTGGAAGAATCTCCCCGTGGAAGACGCACACACACACTTATACAGATTAAGCATATAAGTGTTCAACTGAACTTCCTTCCTCCTTCCAGAGGACATTCCTCTTGAATATTTCCATGTTTTATTTTTCTACATTTTCTGTAACATGGGCTGGAAATAAAAGGCCTTTTTTTAAAATGACCTTATTTGTCTATCGTGTGAAGCCTCTGAAGGTAACATGGCTCATTTTACATCCTGGGTGAGGAACATAGCTTGGCGACTTGAATTACCCTCCACTCAGCTCCTCTCCCGGTAAAAATCCCATTTTCCCATGCAGTGATGGCGCAATGTGCTGAGCTTGGTGATATCTCAGGGCCACTCCACGGTGGAGGAGGGGTGCACAGACATGCTTACTGCCTCCCTTTTAGAAAGCATCATTTCAGCAGGATCGATAGTACGTCCCACTCCACGGCTGGCAGAAAGCGCAGCTTTTACAGCGGGCGGAGGGCTGTGAGTACGCGTGGACAGCTGCAACCGAGGCAAGTCCGAGCAAGGCACGCAGTCAAGGTGAATGATCACATGCTGCGTCAGACACTCTGCTGCTCACTTGCTCCGAGATGCAGTTTCTGAGGAGGGCCAATGGGTGGATGCTGCCCTCAAATCCTGGATGCAGTTGCAGGCAACATATTGATGAGGCTTGTGAACTAGCTCAGCCATCATGGTTTTTTTTTTTGTCATGAAGCCAACTCAGAAACATGCATTGAGATGAAAAAGAGCCGAGGCCAATGCATCAAGCACAAATCCTTCCTTTTTTTTTTAAATAGTTCTACGTGTCTTTGACTGTATTGGAGGTAGAGCACTCAAATAGATTCATGCTGTAGGTGAGAAGACATATCATGTTTCAGTGGATCGCTTGCAATATAAGACCAGCACGGTGTAGCTCTGTAAAGGAGAAATGCTGACACAGCAACAAAAGAAAATCTAAAAATCTTTACTGGTTCTTAGAGTAATGTGGATGGGTAGTGAGGTTGAGAAAAATCATTCACTCGGGGAAAACTGACCTCTGGTCAGTTATTTATAATAACACCGCACCGTATAATGTTCAAGAGGCCAGTGAGTTGCTCTTAGCCCTATTTATTTCCTCCCATACTCACCCTTTTATGGACAACGAGATATGCTACAAAAACAATTTTTGAAATAACTATTTTTGACTGATTCATTTCTAATGTTTTTGCAGATAGTTTAGAAATTTAAAACACAAAAAAATGTTTGAGGGTGTCATGACTTTTTAATGTTTTTACTAAACCAAAAATGTATTTGATTCACAATTACGTCTTCTTTCATTTAAAAAGAAAAGGTGCTTATGAACCATATGAAAGCAAAGGGACTTCTCTAAATAAGTGATTTGGGAAACAGTTAAGTTTGAATAGTTTATATTCAACTACGACCTAGTTGATATTTAATGTAAGAATTATATCAAATTAATAGAAATAGGTACACTTTTGCTTATTCACTCCATAAGTTGCAATTTTTTCTGCCAGCGCATATTCTGCTCGTGTGACTTTGAGTGGAGCTTTTGCTGGAATGGAGTGAGGAAAGGGCGTCAGTTAAGGGAGGTGAACCACTGCAGGGCAGGGGGATGTGGACGGGACAGGATGTGGCGCAGTACAAGCATCCCCCACTGCTCAGATCGCTGCTCATTTGTCAAGTTGCCTGCAGACTTGAATGGTGCATTGCTGCTGAAACACAGAGAGGTAATCAGCATTGGAACAGCACACCTCATCCACCTAGGAGGAGTCCCAGGTGGATGAGAGCCTCCTCGGCTGATGTGCAAATAAGCGCCTTGCTGCCAACAAGATGTAGTCAGCAAGATGGGCACGGAATAAAATTGTTCATACCATGGGACACACTTCACATCTCTGCTGATAAAATGTTAATCAAATCCAGTTTTAGGTTACAGTAAAGCTGCCTGGTTCTACTGGTCGAGACATCCGCGGACAGGAAGACTCACGGAGGTAATCCTGCACATCAGAGACAAATCCAGGTGACCAGTCCATCAGCGGACTGTGGTAGGGTACAGGATCCAGTCCAGGATGCAGAATGACCCATCTTATCTGCCACACTGCAGCTCTGTGGGCTGTGTCCACTCATCCAGAAGGGAAACTATCAAACACAACATTTTCTCAGACGGCAGATAAAAATAACGGCAGAAATTGTGAGTCGATTAAATAAACGCAATATTTTTCTCATTGAAATCACCAGTTTCAAAGAATAAAGGAACCGGACTGAATCAAGGTCACACACTGAGTTAAGAAATCCCTCTTGAAATTCACACTGAAAAGAAAATGATCATTTACAGTTGCAAATTATTTCGTGCAATAGCTGCCTTCAGACCCCAAAACAAATGTATTCGTTTTAATTTCCCTCTATAACAATATCTATTGATGCCATATTTCAGCTTTTTCTGTCACAATGCACAATACAAAACGATACAACTGATACCAGAGGTCCCTTCGTATTTCAACATAAGACAAACATAGATTTGTATGTCTGATCTAATATATCAAGGAACTGGGAAACTATTGAATGAGCTCATATGTATGTTAGTTTAATAGGGAACAGTATGCTTAATGATGTTGAAAAGAATGTGTATGCTGATGGAAAAATGTATGATGGTAGTGACAAAGAAACTGCATAGTCTCCTTATGGCTATCGCCTAATCGTATTAAGAACATCTATTCAGACTTTGGCAATAAGCATTATCATCACCAACAAGGGCCAAAAAGAGTAAAGATAATAATAAAAAGAAACAGTCAAATCCTGGTGCTTGGGTGATCTTATTGTGTCAGTAATGATGCACAGCTAAACAGTTTAACCTATCAGTGTTCTTCTTCTAAATGCGCATATCAAACAGATACTGTAATCTGGTAAGGTTCTGTCTGTCTGTGATCATACTCCATTAATTGTCACATACACAACACAAACCACATCAGTGTTTTTTTTATTACATAAAAGATATAGCAACCTGAGGCTCCAAATGGGTAATAATCAGATACCAAAAGTTGATCCTGCAAATAATCCAGTTTC